GAGACAAGAGTGAGAATTGTGAGACAAGAGTGAGAATTGTGAGACTAAAGTGAGAAATGTGAGACTCGAGTGAGAATTCTTAGAATAAAGTGAGAATTGTGAGATTAAAGTCAAAATTTTATTTTATTTTTTTCATCAGAATTTGGACGTTTTTTCTCAGAATTAAGGGGAAAAAATTGTACCGTGGCCCTAATCCTCTTCTGTACTCATGAACTTTTCGCAGAACCGCCCTTTAAAAGTCTGAAGTTTAATCATAACTACAGTATAAGCTACAACTCAGTTCAGTGTATTTATGTAGCAACAAGTCATCTGAGATCACAATACAAAAAAAAAAAAGCCCAAATCATGAATCCAATTTGTCAGTTTATAATAAAATACAAAGAATTCACCTGCAGCACTTTATGAAAGTCCAGTTAGTAAAAGTTTGTATCTGAAGAAGCCAGCAGGCTGTGTCAAATCTTCACTTTGTTCCAATTGTTCATCCTGAGCAGCATGCAGGCGACAGTGGGAAGAAATAAGTCCCTTTTAACGGAAAGAAACTTGTCAGCAGAACCAGGATGGGAGACCAGGTTGAGGACAGGAACGAGACACAGAAGAACTGGTCCAGGTGCAGCTTCTATGGGAAGAAACACACAGAAACAAACTTTTAATGGCGGCAGTAGGTCCAAACACAAACATGGAGAGTAGAGAGCAGAGACAGGAAGTGTTCACTTTGACCTCCAGCACTCTTAGCACAAATGTCTTCACCCTAACCTGACCCGACTCGGTTCTACACAGCCTCGAATGTTTCCTGTATAACGGAGTGCTGCTCATTGTGTAGCGTGGTCGCCTGTAAACTCACCACCCTCTGCCACCGTTTCCAAAAATGTTGTGGCTGAGTCAAGGTGACCTTTCCTCCACTGATCGATGCACATCACTTGGTCCAACTCCGTCTGACTTCTGTCTTCAGAGTCCTCATGGTACCACACCGTTGGTGTAAATGTTGTATATTTATTTAAAACTGTAAATAACCAGTGGGTGGTGCGGTTGATGTCTTACAAATTGTAAGTTTCTTGTGAAGGAGACGCTCATGGTTGACGTCTCGCTCTGGACGATCAGTGTCTGGATGACGCCGCGTCTTCAGCCCGACTCGGCTCCGTTGGATCCTCGGCCGAGGAGGTCAAGTGGAGCACGTGGAAAACAGAGAGAGGGACAGAGTGTTCAAAACTGTAGGAACTCCAAGTAAACCTGCAGCCCGAGATGTGCTGTTAGGAGAATACAAAAGTATCAGATGGAGTTCGGTTGTTGAGACCTTTGGATGTGAGAAGAACCAGTCAGTTCCACCCACTAGAAGAGCTCTCAGCCCAGTTCAGCAGTCATTTCCTGTCAGGAGCCTTTTTAATTAGTTAGAACCACTGAAGTCAGAACATGCCTCCCCCATCTTGTAACCCCCCCCTCACTTCTATATATATATCAGTCCGCCTCAGCTCCAGGGACTCCTGGATGTGTGTTCCTGTGTGTGTGCACGTGTCTCTGGCTCTTAATGTTCTGCTGCAGTGTTCGACATGCATGAACAGAATGAAATATTCAGGTGACACTCGGCTCCAGCACGTCTTTGTTTTCTGCTGGGAGTTCTGGTGCAGATTTCTCCCTTTTTTAAATTTTATTCTGTTTTATTAAAACAAAGGTTGTGCACGGGACACGTGCTTCTGCCTGACTGTGGCTGCACAGATAGAAGCAGACGATGTAGCCCACAGGCGCAGAGCACTTTGTGCATTATACATCAGCCTCGTTCAGCTTCTCTCCCCCATTTTCTTCTTCCTTCCTGCCTAAAAGTTGCTGCGAGAGAAATCAAAGGCACCGGCTGTTTTTAACCTCACCCAGCTCGGCTGTAAGTTGAATGATGGAACGCTGTGCAAAGCTCTCAGGATTAAATGCGTCTCAGGCTCGACTGTAGCGTTTTGGTGTTCCTGAAAGCAGCTGAGTAATACGAAAGGACTGCAGACGCCTGGATGTAGCCGATAGTTTGTCGTGTATTCAGGTTATTTATTTACTAAACGCCACGAGATCCTATGGTTTCTGTCCCGTTATCTTTTCTTTGGCCTTTTAGCTGCAGTTTAGACCCAGAATAGAATTTCGTGATAAATGGTGTATGAGGCGAGTCGTTTCCAGAAACACGTTTTCAGGTCACGAGGAACATTTGAGCCAGATGTCGTGGAATTCCCTGCAGGTTTTCCCTCAAACCGGATGCCTCCGGCTGCAGATGTTACTGATGTGGAGGATTCAAAAGCAGAAATAATACGACACGTTATTTCCTTTCTGATTTGATAACAGGCCCGAGTTAATATTTTTGTGTTTCCGCTCTGTCCAGCTCTACAACAAATTAAACACGCAGCGATGAGGGGAGTTGTGTGGAAGTTCAGTTTTAGGTGAATGTCAAATATTATTTGTGTTTAAATATTGGTTACTCCATGAACATGTTGTCGAATAGAAACTAACAGAAGCTGATTAGGCTGATGTCAGATACATTTTTTTAACTCGTCTGCAAACTTTAATTTTTTTTTATATTCACGCACACACAAAAAACAAAACTAACTTCTAATTTTTTGAAGAAAAAGTATTTTTACTATAAAATATGTACAATAAAAGAAAAAACCTTTAAAGCGACATTAAGTGAAGTTTTCTGTAATCAAACATCTATAAAATATAATCATTATTATAGATTACAGCGTTTTTTTCACCAGATAATACTTATTTTTCTTTTTGCTACAAAATGTTAATTTAAGCTAATCTACAAGACTGTTCCTCTTATTTGAAAGAAAATACAGTATTCTCTCGCTACTTCGCGGTTTGACTTTCACAGACTCGCTCTTTCGCTGTTTTTCAAAGTAAAAGTGGACATGACAATTGGCTAATTGATGGATGAGCCACACGACTGGCATGGATTTTAATTTAAAATAAATTATTTAAAATTATTTAGCATCTGCTGCACCTTTTTGCAGCCCACATGTGCAGGGAGAAGCTCCCTCCTGCAGCAAGTGGACATGGCCAAGAGCGCTGGCAGGTGGCAGAGAGAGCGGAGCTCATGACATGCTGTGCTCTCTCAGAGCGTTTAGAAACATTGTTTAGAATATTGCAAGAGTGTGGGAAGGGTTTAAAATGCCTTAATAATGAATATATATATATATATATATATATATATATATATATATATATATGGGACTACTTGCTGTACATGGTTTTATTGTAGCTGATCACCAGGTGTATTGCAGCTCAGGAGTCTACACTAACGTTGCTCTCACAGTTTAAAGTGAACTTAAATGCTTCGCCTGTTTCAACTGAACTCGAGGCCGAACGTTACTGAGCTGCAGGTAAACCTGTACAGAAAAGATCTGCCTACTTCCACCTTACAGATATTTGAAAAAGTCAAACGTTCACTCTGAAAACTTGATACTGTTTGTGCAAATTAGCCACGTAGCTAAGATGTATCAGAGGTTTGAAAATCGTCTGATTCTGGTCGACAGAGTAATCTGTATCCAACTGGTTAGTGAATTTTAGTTAAAACACTTTATTGTTTTTGTGTTGCAAATATTTGTTTTAATGATGGAACAGATTTTTAGAGAGTTAAAATAATAAAAAAAAAGACATTTGATGTTCTTAAAGATTTGCATTTGTTTAAGTTGTTGCTTTTTATCTACAAGTTTTTGTTCAGCTCCAGGTTGATATAAACGTTGAGTTAAACTCCTGCACAGAGTTCTTTTGGTCAGTACTAAGTCAGAAGTACAGAATGAATAGAAATGAGACTGAAAAGTACTAGGATTGAAAACTTTGTTGTCTTGACAGCACCACTCAGGGCTGGAGGACATCAGTCCCAGTGAAGAGGTGACGGACACCGAGGACAATGAGGAGGAGGATCTGGGGGTCCTGGACGACCAGCGGAGCATCATTCTCCACCTGCTGTCCCAACTCAAACTGGGGATGGACCTGACCCGGGTAAGGAACAGACTCTGCTTCGGGAGAGTCGGTGCAGAGTTTAATCTTTGGTTTTCTCCGTAGGTGGTGTTGCCCACGTTCATTTTGGAGAAGCGCTCGCTGCTGGAGATGTACGCCAACTTCATGGCCCACCCCGACATGTTTCTGTCCATCACAGCCGGCGCCACGGCTGAGGACCGGATCATCCGCTTTGTGGAGTACTACCTGACCGCTTTCCACGAGGGGCGGAAAGGAGCCGTGGCCAAGAAGCCCTACAACCCCGTGCTGGGAGAGACCTTCCACTGTTCGTGGGAAGTACCTCGAGATAAAGTCAAACCTCTGGTCCGATCGAACCAGGGCACCCCCGGAAATAATCCCAACAACGAGGACTCGGGAAGAGGCTGCTACAGGGTCCGATTTGTTGCGGAGCAGGTGTCCCATCATCCACCGGTGTCCGGGTTTTACTGCGAGTGTCGAGAGCAGAGGATGTGCGTCAACACCCACGTGTGGACCAAGAGCAAGTTCATGGGCATGTCTATAGGAGTGTCCATGGTGGGGGAGGGTGAGTTCTCCACGACACAAATGTACATTTTCAGTAACATTTTAATTACATAAAGTCAACTGAGTGAATACATGTCGCTGCTTTAAAATCACAGAGTACAGAGGGAGTTGTAGGCAACTCTCAGCTGCTACCACACCAAACTTCAACTCATTAGCTATAAAACTGATAGAAATCCATGTACGTGCTAAGTTTGATTACCTATGGCAGCCATCTTGAACTGAGTTGTGAAACACAATTACATTATTTACTATAATTATACATCAAAAAGCTATAACAAAAGAGCTTCCCTACAACTGATTTTTAAAGACAAAAACATTATTTAACAGCTAAAATGTAGCTTTGTTAACCCTTTACTGTTCTCACAAACTTGATGTGAAAATACTGAGTATTTATGATGAAGCACCCGTCGCTGCTTCACCCGTACACAACCACATACACATACAGTAGAACCACATCAGTCAATTCAGTTCAGTTTATTTATAAAGCACCAAGTCACAACAGAAGTCGTCTCAGGGCACTGAACAGAAACATTCATACACTCCCATCCTCTCCCCTTGGTGAGTTTGTGTTGGGGTTTGTATTGTATTTGGGGTAGAGGCAGGGCAGCCGACTCGGGACCTGGAAGTCCCAGGTTCGGTCCCCAGCCAATCCCACATGTCTTTGTGTCTCTGAGCAAGACACCCAATCCCCAATTGCTCCCTGGGCACTTCCATAGCTGCCCACTGCTCCACCAGGTGCGATGGATTAAATGCAGAGAACCAGTTTCGCCATTGTATGGGAACATACAACTATGACGCATAGCACTTTACATTACTTGTATCTTGTCAGTGGAGTTCATTATGTCTATTTTTTCTCACCAACTTAGAACAACTAAGGGTGCACACTTGATGCCGGTACCTGATGTTGTACCGTCAGACGTAATATCCATCTGTAGAATCTGAGGTAACTGACTCATTATTGCCACAAGAAGCTGGTGTTTGCAATTTACCTCTGGCTGCTTGGAGTTGGTACCTGAAGTCCTCTTTTAGCTGCTTTTGTCAGCGGTGACTGAACTGAGTGTTGAAGAGTGCCTCCTAACTTTTAAGTTACTGTAATCGGCCTCTTCTCCTCCTGTGCTGCCAGAAAATCTTTCATCAAGGCCAACATCCATCAAACACACCAGCTGTGCCACACCCAGACTGGGATTGACACTCCTCAGATGAGTGCATCGTTTCACCCGATGGTTGTGCTGTAGACTGATGATGAATTTGATGATGATAAATTTCTTAAATTTCAACGAGAAGACAGATGTCATGTTGTTTCCACCTAATGGCACAATCAAGAACCACTGTATTGACCTTTCCTCTCTAGTCCCGGTAGAGAAACAAGAATCGGGGCGTGAAAATGGACCCTTGCATGAAACTAGTTACATGATTGTTAAATCCTGTTTTTTTTTCAGTTGAGGCAGCTGTCTAAATTAAAGCCCATACTGTCAAAAAGTAACCTTGAGACAGTAATACATGCTTTCACAACATCCATGCATGATTACTGCAGTGCACTTCGTTTTGGAGTCAGTCAGACCTCGACTGCATGGTTCAAAATGCTGCAGCCCGATTTTTTTTTTTTTTTACTGGTACAGGCAAAATAAGCACATTTCTCCAGTTCTGCCTCCCTTCACTGGCTCTCGGTTCACTTTTGAATTAATTTAAAAATCCTTCTGTATGTTTTTAAATCTCTGAACAGTTCTGCACCTTCTTATCTCACTGATCTGCTGCAGCCATATGTCTCACTGCCCTCTCTGGGGTCAGCAGATGCTTTTATTCGTACCAGGTACTGGTTTTAAGGTCAGAGGTGACGGGGCCAAAACTGTGGAAAAAGTTACCACTGCATGTCAGGCTGATTTTAACTTGTCTGTATTCTATGTTAATCATTTAGTTCTTATGGTTACTTCTGTGGATCTATGTACTTTTTGCTATGCCCTTTGCTTGTTTGTTCATCACTTTAGTTGGCCTTGTTGCTGTTTTTAAGTGCTTTATAAAAAAGTGGTATGGTATGATGATGATTGCCCAGTTTCCAAGGTTTCTACTGTAGCTTCTGCCGACACTCACTGGTCGTGAGCACAGTCCAGTCTGTCTGGGAGAATGATGCTGGATCTTGATAGCATTTTGAGGTCAGATGGGTCACCATCAGAGATGCAGGAAGTCTGATCTTTACCCAGCTGTTTGTCAAGTGGACACCAGAGAACAAGCTGATTCCTTTGAGTTTATTTTGTTGTTCCTGAACAACTTCCGGTATTTAAATGACTCGTCTTGACTTTTAGGATTTTCAGTTGTAATCGGCTCAGGTTTTAACCAGCATGTTTTAAATGCTTCACTTGTGTAACTACTTTGCTTCTTAAGTAAACAGTCGCATGCATTAAGAAAACCATTTAAGTTTATTACTTGAAATGAGAATTAACGTATACTCTAATAGGACTACCAATCAAAAATCACCCAAATCTACAATCCAATCTAACACAGTGCTGTTTCACTGTATTCAATGACATCCAGCAGGCGTTGCCATATAAATGTAATTTTAAAAAAATTGACCACAGAATGATCTACTGAATAAAACAAGGCGTTTCTTTTGGTTTTCCATTTTTCCGTACAGAGCTCAGCGTTGTTTAAAGCTCCAAGCTGGGATTAACTGAACGATTTTATCTCCCACAAGTCAACTCTTTGTCAGCTCCTGCTCACAGACTGGTTTTATCCTCCTGCAGCAAAAACTGAACAGATGTGCTCCTGTGAACATGTGGTCGTGATGCAAAAACTCAAATCTGTTCACATCCAGGAGGGTGATGAATCATGAGTTTAAAAAATAAATTTAAAAATCCCCTGCAAACCAAAATTACCCCAATAGTAAACCCAAAATTGATTTGCACTGAACTACGGTGCAGAAAACATCCACTTCTAAGGAATAAATTAGTTTCTTACTGTAAAAAAAACAACAAGAAATTAGCTGCATGAAAACAGTTATGTTGTCTATTTATCATATGAAATGTTCAGGATGAGAAGAACAAATTCAACAATTAAAAAATAATGCATGCAATAAGGGTACAAAAAGTAAAAAGGAAATATATTTACAAGATCCAAAAGTAATATAGTAAACAACAACATGGTAGAATATTCAAATTAGATTCAAATTCAGAAATGCTTTATTAATCCCAAAGGGATATTTTTGTTGTAGCTCCTCTTGGTTTCATTAGTTGTTCTAGATGCTGATGGTTTTGGGCAGGAAGGATCTCTTGTAGCGGTCCGTCCCACAGCAGATCCGAAGAAACTGGCTGCAGATGCTGATCTGTCCACCCAGACCCAGCAGACCTCTTGTCCTCTTGGGCAGCAGGACTGCCTGAATGTCAGGTAGAACTCCTCCCTGAGCAATGGCCATTTCTCTCAGCAGCCTGCCGAGCCCCTCATCACCGCAAACTTAACTGCTGGTGCCGGGGGATTTCACGGGCCGTGTTTCCCACTACCTCCAAGATTTCAGCAGTCAGGCACTTGAGCACAGCCTCCAGGTAGATGGTAATGCATCCACGGCATCTCCTTTTCAACTCATTTGGGATTTGGGGCTGTAGTTGAGGTCTTCTATGAGCGTTTGAGATGTTAATCAGATATTCCCAGTTGTAGAAAACAACTGGGAATATCTGATTAACATCTCAAACGCTCTGAAAAAAGTCATTACATACAGAAAAATTTGTAGTTAAGTTTTCAAAAGCAAAATCTCAGAATGAATGTAAGAGCTACTCCAACGTGCAGCCACCTTGAGCGGCGCAATTCTGGAACGCAATTCTATAACGGTGCAAGTAGGATGAATTCGTATAGATAAGTATTTCACAGGTGGTAATATTAACTTAAATATCGCACATAACCAACAAACTACACAGGTTGTGCGACAGGTTATTGCACAGGTAGTAACACTGAGATGGATTCAGTTGATGGTAAGGTAGTGACATACATGATAATAAACATATTAAGCACTTTGATAACAGTTTATCTGTTTTAAATTGTGCTCTACAAATAAAGATGACTTGACTTGACTTGACTAGGCGTCACAAATTGAATCAGATTCCTCATCTGGTTTAATCTTTCAAGCTACGCAGCTCAGGAAATTTAATCTATGCACCTCATCTGGATTTTCCTTCCTCTTCCTTCCCCCAGGAGTCCTGTGTCTCCTGGAGCACGAGGAGGAGTATGTCTTCACGCTGCCCTGCGCCTACGCCCGCTCCATCCTCACGGTTCCCTGGGTGGAGCTGGGGGGCAAAGTCTCCATCAACTGCGTCAAGAGCGGCTACTCGGCCACGGTGACGTTTCACACGAAGCCTTTCTACGGAGGGAAGGTGCACAGGTGAGTGTTTCTTTTCTCTGTATCATCGTGAGATAAGACCCAACGAACTTCTCATCTTTGAATGATGATCCTTTGGTTTTGCCCGACTTTTTAAATCAAACTCACCGTAGCTGCAAGCACAGATTCAATTAGTCCATTTTCGGTGGGGGGGAATATTTTGAACCAAGTGTTTAGAAAAGTTTTCCAGGAAGACTTTGTGTTTTTGTGAGAATAAAAGTAGATGCTTCAAATTCACGAGAACAGTGGAGTGGTTTGATAAAAAGCCTTTAGGAGAGAAATGAGGGTTCATCGAGACATTTAAAGTTCAACGTGTCCACATGTTTTTGTTGCAGTGGATAACCAGTATGGCAGTCACATATTTCATTAAATATAACTTTTCATCTTGTACATCTTACATATTTTAAGAAAAACAATCCTCGAGCTAAACCGTTCAGCTTTGTCAGCTTGTTGCACTTTGGCAGCCGAAAAATCTGCCTGTTCTGTGACTAAATGGGTTTCTATTATATTTTTATGCTAAAATGTTGTGTATTATGCCACATTCTTTAAATATTAAAATGCTTTCTTAGTAGGTAATTCATGTCACAAGCACTCAGTCTGGCTGCTTAAAAGTGAAGAAATAAAAATTAAACCCCATTTTAATAAGACAACAGTAACGGCACAACTGCAGATAGAACTTTTAATTGTTTTGGGTTTGCTTCCTAAAACTTACTCCCACATTAAGAACATTGTCTTCTTGGTTTCAACCTGCAGAGTGACGGCGGAGGTCAAACACAACCCGACCAACACCATCGTGTGCAAAGCTCAGGGCGAGTGGAACGGCACGCTGGAGTTCACCTACAGCAGCGGAGAAACCAAAGTGCTCGACACGACCAAACTTCCTGTCATCAGGAAGAGGTTGCGACCTCTGGAGAAGCAGGGCTGGACCGAGTCCAGGTAAAACAAACGTGCACGAGCCACTGGTCATAAAATTAGAATATTATGAAAAAGTTGAATTATTTCAGTAATTCCATTCAAAAAGTGAAACTTGTATATTATATTAATTCATTACACACAGACTGATATATTTCAAATGTTTATTTCTTTGAATGTTGATGATTATAACTGACAACTAATGAAAACCCCAAATTCAGTATCTCAGAAAATTAGAATATTAAGACCAATAAAAATAAAAAAAGATTTTTAGAAATGTTGGTCCATTGAAAAATATGAGCATGCACAGCACTCCATAATTAGTTGTTGCTCCTTTTGCCTGGATTACTGCAGCAATGGAGTCGATCAGTCTGTGGAACTGCTCAGGTGTCATGAGAGCCCAGGTTGCTCTGATAGTGGCCTCCAGCTCTTCTGAATTGTTGGGTCTGGTGTATCGCATTTTTCTCTTCACAATACCCACACATTTTCTATGGGGTTAAGGTCAGATGAGTTTGCTGACCAATTACAAAAAGGGATACCATGGTCCATAAACCAAGTACTGGTAGCTTTGGCACTGTGTGCAGGTGCCAAGTCCTGTTGGAAAATGAAATCTGCATCTCTAAAGTTGGTCAGAAGCAGGAAGTGCTCTAAAACTTCCTGGTAGATGGCTGTGTTGAACTTGGACCTCTGAAAACACAGTGGACCAACACCAGCAGATGACATGGCACCCCAAACCATCACTGACTGTGGAAACTTGACACTGGACCTCAAGAAACGTGGATTCTGTGCCCTTCCTCCAGACCTTGATTTCCAAAAGAAATGCAATATGTACTTTCATCAGAGAACATAACTTTAGACCACTCAGCAGTTGTCCCAGGCGAGACACTTCTGACGCCGTCTCTTGTTCAAGAGTGGCTTGACACAAGGAATGCGACAGCTGAAATCCATGTCTTGCATATGTCTGTGTGTGGTGGTTCTTGAAGAACTGACTCCAGCTGCAGTCCATTCTTTGTGAATTTCCCCCACATTTTGGAATGGGTTTTGTTTCACCATCCTCTCCAGGGTGCAATTGCTTGTACACTTTTTTTCCTTCTTTTTTTTACCACATCATTTCCTTCCCTTCACCTCTCTTTTAATGTGCTTGGCCACAGAGCTCTGTGAACAGCCAGCTTCTAGCAATGACCTTTTGTGTCTTGTCCTCCTTGTGCAAGGTGTCAATGGTCGTCTTTTGGACAACTGTCAAGTCAGCAGTCTTCTCCAGGATTGTGTAGCCTACAGAACTAGACAGAGACCATTTGCAGAATGCAGTGGCCTTTAAATGCATGTGCATAGTTGCACAACTAAACCCAAATGTGTACTCTGAAGCTTCAAAATTTAAAAGAAAAGACAAGTTTTAATTTTGCAGGAACTCTTCATTTACTGTCACAGACCATTGTGATCAGAGATGGTTTTTTTTGTCTCATAGGCGGTTATGGCAACGTGTGACCAAGTCTTTGAAGGAGGGGAACATGGACGAGGCCACAGAGCACAAACACCGACTGGAGGAGAGTCAGAGGGTGGACGAAAGACAGAGAGCAGCTGCCAACAAGCCATGGAAACCCAAGTACTTCACTAAAGAGGTGCAAACCACTTAAAACTTAGCATCTTGAAGGAAATCGGAGGCTATTTTGTCATTTAACATAAAACCCGTTCCGTGAAAGCAAGTTATAACTACAGGAAAGTGTTTAAGGTCATGGTTTGATCCAGTCACAGTGCAGTAACATCTTCCACCAAGAAACAAAAGCTTCAAACTTAATACACCAATCTTTCTGTGATTCTTCTGTCAGGGTTCTAGAGAGGAGAACACAGGTCAGTTTGGACAGTTATTCATTTTGAGCATATCGAAACAGAATGGCTTTATCCAAAGACGTGGGGTAGTTGCTGCCTCAATGGAACAATTGTATTAAGTTTTACAACTGGATGTTAAAAATACAAGTTAGTTCCAAACTCTGGTGATCAGAATCCAGGATGTACATTTAAACTGGTACAGGATATGTATGAAGACAGTGGTGAGATGTGCTTTAGGAGTGACAGCTTTAAGGTGGAGGTGGGAGTGCATCATGGGTCAGTTCTAAGCCCCTTCTTGTTTGCTCTGGTGATGGACTGACTAACAGATGAGGTCAGGCAGGAATCTCATGGACTATGGTGTTTGCAGATGAAAGTCAGCTGCAGTAAGACGGAGCTCGTGTGTGAATGAGGAAGCCGGTAGAACTACATACTTAACAAGGTCCTATTTAAATGCAGCCTCAAACTACTGTCTGCTGGAATGTTTCCATATTTTAATGTATCGTGTATTTTAGAATGGTTTTAACTGTTTTTAATTGATTTAGCAAAGCTTGGTTTTGAAGTTTTTTAATCACATTTTAATTTTGTTTTTATAAGCCAGATGTCAAAGACAAATCTCCATTTCATTGAATGTTATGGACAATAAAGTTTGATTGATTGAAAAAAAAAAAAAAGAGAGTTGAGGCAAGATGGAGTGATTTGCAACAAAAGGGTGTCAGCAAAGGTCAAAGGAAAAGTTTACAAGACAGTGGTGAGACCAGCTATGTTGTATGGTCTGGAGACAGAGACATGGACAAAAAGACAAGAAAGAATTGGAAGAAGCATAAATGAAGATGTTGAGGTTCTACTAAGGAGTGACAAGGATGGATGAGATTAAGAATTAGATCATCAGAGGTACAGCACAGGTTGAACAACTGGGAGATAAAGTTAAAGACCAGACTGAGATGGTTTGGACATGTCCAGAGGGACAGTGGGTAAATACATGGATGCAGTTAGAGACGATAGAGGGAGAACTCACTGTAGCGACCCCTGAAGAGGGGACAGTCGAAAGTACAAAGTAGAGCATCTTGGATGTACAATAATTTGTAGATGGAAATACTTGAGTATTTTCTTTCTATATTTGTGTTTCGACAGAGTGATGAGTTTATTTGAAACAAGCTCTGCTGTTCCTGGTCTTAAACTTCTGAATACCCATGTTTTATTTCAGTTTAGGTCTTTTTTTCTAACCATACAAACCTTTGAATCTCTGCTGGGAGATGTATAACTGCTGAACGTTGGGCCAAAGTTTAAACTGTTTTAGTCTCAACCCTCTTTCCTCCTACCTTCACATGTGCAGGGAGACGGTTGGATCTACAACAACCCGCTGTGGAAGTCCACCTGACATCAGACCTGCCTTTCTTCACGGACACAAACTGCAGTCTCAAACTGAGGACAGGACTCAAAGCAAAGGTGCGGCGTCCCCCTCGGCCTCACGGACGAACCGAGCGACAAACAAAAGGTGCCAAAAGGGTTTCCACTGCAGAACCAGGAGAGTGAAGACACGGGACTGAAGAACAGTTTTTTAGTATTACAAGTAGAATATTTCTATTTTCCACTTTTTCTAAAGGCCTTCTTCTTCCTCTTCACAACATGTGGCACTTGTTTTGTTCCGTTAACTCAGAGTATATCTGCGTTGGCTCCAAGTCTTCTGTAACACACACTGTAGCTGTAACAGACTGTTGACGAAGCACTTTTATCAGAGGTAAAACGTCTATTTTTTACTGTAATAGTGTCTTTTACTAAACTGGAATATCTATCAGAGCTTTACAGAAAAGGTCACGAAACCTGATTAAAATGATACAAATGTAGTATGTTATATATATATATATATTATGGTTTACAAGGAGGACGGTCCTGATTGTTCTGTCTGCACTATTAACGTATTTAGGCACATTTAATACTTTCCCAAATGTAAGTCACTGTGATGTCCTTTTTTTTCTCATGTCAGTCTTCAACCAAACAGTTTCCATTTCTACCTCTCATGTAACTCTGATCTACATTTCATTCCAAAGAAAAACTGATTTGTAGCTAGAAAAGCTTCTGGTTCCTCACATTCAGCTGGTGCCTCCTTTAATTACTGCTTCTCATCAACCCATGTTGGTTATTATGGATGAGGAGGTTCTGGTTCACACTACAGGTGTACTCACAGCCGACAAACCACGTGGCCAATTTTCAGATTTTTATAAAATAAAACTTTACATTAGATGTGGATTTTTTCTGACTTGTATGTTTTTGTCTTCTCCTTTATTCCCCTCCACTTCCTTTCAGTCCTTGCACCAAACAGGAGTGAGTCTGAAACAAGCGGTACGCTGATGTTCTCCGCAGCAGAGGACGTTTTTGTCACAAATAATTTTCTGGACTGGAATTTAACAGGGATGCCAGTAAACTTTAATGTTTTTGGTGGGTAGGAGTTCCACTGTTTAGAGAACTAAAAGTTTACAATCTTTATGGTGGTAATTTGTATTACTGTTATTTTGATTGTGAAGAGTGACCAGATGACTTGCAAGTTCATTGCTGCTTGTAAGACATCACACCAACCATTTATCGGTCAAGAACGGTTCACTTGCAGTGAAGAAGCTTCAGGGGCGCCCAAGAAAGTTAAGCTAGCATCAAGACAGTGTCCTAAAGAGGATGCAGCTACGTGATCGGGTCACCACCGGCGCAAAGCTTGTTCAGGAATGGCAGAAGGAAGGTGTGAGCATCTGAACGCAGCAAGACGAACGCTTGAGAAAACAAGAGGGCAGCGAATAACAGCAAGGACACTGTTCTGCAGGTGATGTAGGGATTGGACTGGGGGGGCTATTTTCACTGATGACCCCCCCCTCTTCAGAATGTTTGGGACTTCTGGAATAAAGATTTTCCAAAGAAAAGGTGAGTGCTACCATGAGTCCTACGTCATGGGACCATTTCTCATCCAGGTGGATTTACTCAAGAACACCGCCATGAATAAGAAATGGTATCAAAACCTCCAAGAGCAACTTCTCCCAACGATCCCAGAGCGGTTTGGAGATGAACATCGGTTTTCCCAGCATGATGGAGCACGAGGCAAAGTTGATAACCGAGTGGCTCGGTGAATAAATCATTGAAATTTGGGTCCATGGCCAGAAACTCCCCAGACCTCAACCCCATTGAGAACCGGCAGACAAACAAACCCAGAAGCTCTGATCGTCTCCAAGCACTGATCAGGCAAGAATGGGTTGCAAACGTTCAAGATGAAGCTGAACTCTTTGGAAAAACAAAATTTGTGCCATTCTCATGACTTTTGGCCACAACTGTAGAAGGAGTGGTAATTATTTTATTCATCTTGTCTAAAGCAGCACAGAGACGGATCTGGCAAGTGAGGGGGCAATTTTATCCACCAGGGGGTGGCCAAGGCCACCATAGATTCATTTTGAGCCACCTTTGCTTTTAAGCAATATTAAAAACTAGAAGGCTTAGTTTTCTCAAATGATTGAAATGACTTTCACTTACATTAATGGTGGAGGCCATCTTGGATTTTTACATGGCAACTCAAGTTTCAATAGTAACCTTCCTGACATGCAGCCACACAACAAAATACAAGTTGGTACCGCACTTATTTTTCAGGTTATCCAGCTCACAAGACAGACAGATGGTATTTCCAAATGCCCTCACTTCAAGATAGGACACAAAAGAGAGGAAAATGAACAGGTAGAGGACAAGAAAAGGTCTGGCCCATCAGGGAAATAGCCCAGATCTGACACAGGATGTGTGACAAGTTTTCAGCCAGTAGCTCAAGAATCACCTTACTGGTGGTAGAATTCAATTTAGTGTCAAAGTGGTACAGATTCAACAAAGGACGTGTCTAAAAGTCTAATCAAAAGTTGTGTCTGTTAATGGTTTAAACATTTTCTTCAGTAAAGGGTACTAAAACTATGAAAAAGGAGCCGAAATCCCCACAAAAACATCGGAAGGCCGTCAGAAAGTATGAACAATGAAAAACAAGAACAAATGCAAGAAAGGGCTGGATTAAGACTTTTACACAGTACTTTAAGGGCTAACTAAGCATTTACGAAAAGTCAAATAACGACAAACGTTTGGAATGGAGTCAGAATTATGTTACTGTGACATAGTTTGTTCTAACTTCTAAATCTGACATTTTGCCGTCGCTGTAAAAAGCTTTTCAAAGCCAGAAGTGACCAAACGCTGATTACTGAAGTTTTTTAAATCATTTCAAGAGCTGAAAACCATGGAGTCACCTAAACGCACATTTATGTTTAGTTTTAGAACCATACAGAGCTCAAATTGTTCAGCTGATCAGCGCAGGGACACCATGAAGCGTCTCACCTTCACACCTCCTGCTTTCAGCTAATCTTTTGCCTCAGCTGGTCTATGTGATGCTGGTTTCACTGGAAAACCTCGGCTCGCCTCCCAAACACAGTCAGCTAAAAGCTAATGCTGCCACCAAGTGGTTCAGTTTGCACTCACCTGGAAAAACAAACAAATAAGATCAACGAGCACAAGTGCACATTAAAACAAGAGAACACGCCGATGTTTTGATTGAAGTGTATATTTAGAGATGGATGAAGAAAATGTAAACTTTGAAGCTGAGCAGGGTCAAGGACGGCACAGAGCTGCTAATGAAACCTCAGCAGGCAGCCGTACCGTCAGGGTGAAAGAAAAACAAGAACTGCACATCACATTAAGGCTTAGTCTGAACTCGGTTCTCTCTCTGAGAACTCCACAGATTTAGGCGTCGACGAAAGGAAAACGTGACCTGAATTTTCAAAAGGTGACTAAAACAAACAGAACAGTGGATACTAATGAAGTCACCTGTGAACATCTTAAAGTGTCACTCGTTTGGAAGAAAGTAGCGTGCCCAGACAGGAACCCCTCTATTTTTTAACCACAAATCAGTGCAGAGGCTGCAGAATGATGAGTCCCAGCTGTACACAGCACACTCACACCAACAACCGGATCAACTATCTCAATAAAACACCATTTACTGTCCTGCTGTGTTAATCTAATCTCATTAATTGAAGGTTTAATGATTAAAAACAATTTTGGATTACTGTGTCGACTCAGATATTTATAAATAAATCCTTTATTAATCAGGCTGAATCAAATTAAAGGCGCAAAAGAAGTCACAGCTGAGAACGAACTCGTCTTTGAAAAAAACAGCTTAAACTGATCGTATAATGTTTTAAGACCCATTTTAAAAGCACTGAAATACGTCAATATTAGGAATCAAAGTTAATTTTAGAATAACGAGGTTTCATCTCGTCAGACATCCAAAATTCAAACAGCAGCTGCACCCCCCCTTTACATCTTTAACCACTAATGTATTTATGTTGCTTTATTGATGAGCCTTTTAAGAAAAAGGCTGCCAAACTAATTTGAAGGTAAATCAATTTTAAATTGATGAAACTTTCCTTGGCTGTTTAATTGTTTTAGCAATCAATTTATAACTTTACAACCAATTCTCTTGGATTTTAAACATAATTACTTTTTAATTTCTTTTCAGTTGTGCATAAATTGAAAATTTAAGGGTGGAGGAGAACGCTACAACGATTCCAATAAACACGTTTTATATCATTTATAGGAGAAAACATGAAAATATCTTAAGTTAGCTTTAAGCGACGTGCTCAGGTTGTTGGTTCAAGTATGCTGGATGTGTTTGGGACACAGATCCTCTTCCTGACCTCAGCTGCTCTTCACATTTGAATTTATTTCTAGATAGTTTCTAAATGTCCAGTATCCATACATCAGAAAGAAAAACTGCCAAAAATAATAAAAAATCTCCAGTTGACAATATAACCAGGGGTGTCCAAAGTGTGGCCCAGGGGCCATTTGTGGCCCTTGGAGCGATTTTGTGTGGCCCACAACTGCAGTGTAACGATGGCAGAATTTTGACCCATAAGCTTAAGAGATTGATGTAGACTTTGTACAAATTTAATGACTTTTTAAAAAATATAATTACTAGGTTTAACAGAAAAACTGACAAAAAAAAATCTCAAAATGAGCAATATTAAACTTAATATAATATTTTGGCAATAAATCAATAAAAATCTAATTTAATTTTAAAAATAAAGTAATAAAACATTATTGTTTATGAAGCTTTTAAAGTTTTGGCTCTACAATAATTTAGAACACCTCCACCCAAATTAGTAAATTTTGTTCCATCTCCAAAATATTGTTCATGCCGAGTTAAAAACAAGCAAAAATAAAAACCCACTAAAAATATGTTTTTTATTATTTACTAGGGATGCACGATATTATCGGCATGGTATCGGCTGATGTTAGCGTTAAAGTTCAATATCGGCCATTCCATTAAAATAACTCAGATATAAAAAGACGCTGTTTTTGTGACAATCCAGTGACATGGATGTCTGCAGCGGCACAACGTGATGACGTCACATGTGCCTACCTGATCTGATCACGGCGGAGAGGAAGAAGTCAAAATGTCAGCGGTGTGGACGTTTTTCGTTGAGGATGTCAGATTCTGATGATTTTTGGACTACGTTGCGCCTCGCTACATCGTCCCCAGTCAGAGATATTTTTCTGAAGTAACCTTACCCGAGTTACAAGCCGTCATTTCTGACGTCATTGAGAAGCTAACAGCCAATAGGTGAGTTTTACCACAGACATTTGGACGTCGTGTTAGCCCCGTTAGCATGATTAGTCTTACGGCACAATGGATAGTAAAAAAACCTTTGAACTTAAAAGTCTGTCCTTCATGCACAAGAGTGCAGAGGATCCCACACTGCAGCTAGGAACCTGGAACAATCCTCCACAAGTGAGACATCATCGCAGATGATTAATGCTAATAAATAATATTTAACACTTTTTAATTAATATAAGTTAAAGTGCTTTGCATATGGCTGTTTCTGAATACGTCACCAGCTGTTACACAATTTTTGTAGCAAATAAGCCTAAATAAAAGGGCTATGTTCTGACAAAGGAACGTATATAAAATATCGGTATCGGCCAAATAAGTTTGAACATATTGGCCAAAAATCCAATATCGTGCATCCCTAATATTTACTTATTTAAGATTTTTGTGGCTCACAATCTTCAAGGTTTTGGCTCGCATATGAAAATGTTTGGACACCCCTGACGTAAACGGTAACGAGGCGGTCATAACAAGGCGTTGCTGTTCAGAGAGCGCCCCCTGCAGCGGAGGAGGCCCAATTCTCGCGTTTGTTTTTTTTCTGTTTTTACACGCGGCTGCTGCTCGTTTCTGTCTTTAAGGACGAGCAGCAGAGATGTACAATCTAGGCGACCTGTGGAGCAAAAAAAAAAAGGTGGATGTAAAAATTCACATTCAGTTTTTCTTTTCAACAAACTCTGAAGCCCCTCGGGGTGGAATTATTGCATTCGCTGTTTGTTTCGCTGTAATAAAAAAAGTAAAAATAAAAAAAAAACTGCATATTTAAAAGTCACCACGAAGATCCAATATATTACCATCATTTTAGAGATTTCTTTTCTTTTACAGAACATATTTACACATTAGGCCAATTTTTTTTTTTTAAGATTTTGTTGGAAACGAAAAAAATCAGAGAGCCAGGCAGACAGGAAGGAGACGAGGATGATGACAAGGCTTTACAGATGAGCTGTGCGTAGTCGGTGACGTTCCTCCATACCGCATACGGTCCTCTGTACACGCGTCAGGAACAAAGTCCTCGGCTTTTATCCAGCGCTTCCCCACGTGTGCCGCGGAGCGAGGTCGATGGGTCTTTGGTGCAAATGTTCCTCATCATCCCATGAGTCCCCGTTCACTCGATCTCCTGACTGACTGAGAAGCGCTTAATTAAACCACGAAAAAATTATTCAGCGCCGGATCAAGTAGAGCAGCCCTCTGTCTCGCCACACATTCAAGTACAAATTAAAAATAAAACAAATGGGGGGGAGAGAAAAACACAACAGACGTCCTCGGGATGAAACAAAACGATTCTGTAGCGAGCTGGATATGACACTTCCTCCAGAAGTGAGGGCGCTCTGACCAGAGGCGCTCCAGACCAAGTGCCAGCCAACCGCCCCCCCTCCCTCCCCCCGTGTTCTTCTTCACTGCTTCTTAGAGGTTTCGTAACGCCTGTTTGAGCCCATCGTCATTTACTTTTTGGGGAGTTTCTTGCCCTTCTTGAGAGCAAGCTTGTTCTTGATGTGTCCTCGCTTCCTCTTGGCCGTCTGGTAAAAAAATAAAAGGTACATTAATTAAAAAAACAATAATTGTGGATCAGGCTTTTGTAGAGAAAACAGATCCAGATATTAGTTTAAAAACTAAAACCGGTTCTGTGCAGAAGTTTTAGGTTACCAATTACTGCTTAGTTGACTTTCATCTGACGGTCGGCTGGAGGTTTTCATTTTAGGACTTCGGCTGCTTTTTCCACTCACCAAAACCTCAGTAACTGAATGTGGAGGAATCCATGTTTGTTGAGCCACTTAGCTTTGATGTACGGATCATTCAGGAATACAAAGCGCCACAACTACACTCCCGCTTTTCACGAGCTGAACGCAGAGACTTTTTTAATGTAAACACAAAACCCTTTGTCTCTCAAATATTGTTCATAAATTTGTGTAACTGTTAGTGAGCATTTCTCCTTTGCTGAGATCCATCCACCTCTCAGGTGTCACGTATCAAGATGCTCATTAGACAGCATGATTATTTAACAGGTGTGCTTTAGGCTGACCACAACAAAAGGCCACTCTAAAATGTGCAGTTTTACTGTATTGGGGGGATCAGAAAAGCAGTCGGTATCTGGTGTGACCACCGTTCGCCTCACGCAGTGCAACACATCTCCTTTACATCGACTTGATCAGGTTGTGGCCAGTGGAACGTTGGCCTCTACGATGAAGTTCCTGGATATTGTCAGGAACTGGAACACGTATCTGCCGATCAAGAGCTTCAAGCTCAATGGATGACATGTTCGGTGTGTATGCTGGCCATGAGAGAACTGGGATATTTTCAGCTTCAAGGAATTGCGTACAGATCCTTGAAACATGGGGACGAGCATTATCCTGCTGCGACATGAGGTGATGATCGTGGATGGACGAACAATGGTATCGTGGTCACGGTATCTCTGTGCATTCAAAATGCAATATCTCCGTGTTCGTTGTCTATAACGTACACCTGCCCATAAGCTTTAGCTCTTATTTTCCACTGTCCTCAATTTCAAGCACAAACCTCACGGTATTTTACTTTCGGCTGTTCCGTCACAACATGTTGCCAGAAAATGGTACAAGGTCTGAAAGTGAATGAAAAAGCGACCAAAGTCTAAAGAAAACCTTTCAAAGGCCTTTAAAAAAAACCTTACCGGTAATAAATAACGATCAGGATCACTTTAGGAGACTACCAGAAAGACGTTCTGAAGCAGAAACACCAATAAATAAACAGAAATCAACTGCAAGCATTAAAACAAAGATAATGTAAAATTCATAGGAGAAGAAACATCTCCGTTTATCAGCAGGAAGCCCGAGTTTGTTCTTTAAAGGTTCTTTCACAAGACACTAAGTTGGGACTTAAGACGCCTTCTAGTGTGACTAATAATGACGCACAGCAACTTTAAATTTATTTCAAATAAGTTAACAACAAAAAATTGCTCTACTGAGTTGATTTTGTACGTTTTGAAAATGGTACAAGGGAGACAATCGTCATTTAATTTGTTGTGCTCCACGTCAACCCAGCTGAGTTCTGCTCCACGCCTCTTCTCTAACGCTCGCTTCGTTTCGGGACGTGGCCGGCTCCATCAGGGGTTTACGAACAGCGCAAAGACGTTCTGGTCTGTGCGGCCATTTTACGGAACAAAGAGCCTTTTCTCTCAAGATCTGACAAATTGCATCTAAGCTTATGTAAGAAATCAAAACCTCCGTGACATATTTAATAAAACGCTTCTTGAAGAAGAAATAAAATGTACAAAACGGGCTGTGAAAGCAAAGCCTTGACCTTTCCGTTACCTTCTTGGAGGTGTACTTCTGTTTGGGCACTACGCTGCGGAGCTTGTGGTCCAGCGCCTCTCTGTTGTCCAGCTCCTTCACCTTGTAGATCCTGACCAGCCAGTGCTCCGAGGTGAACGCCTCCTCCAGGTGCTTGAACTTGATGTCCTTGTTGCCGATCTCGGCGTTACGAGTCCGGTCGAAGCCAGGTGGCGTTCTGAAGTCCAGCTGTGGGAAGAACAAGGTTCTAATTAAGACTCGTTCTGACAAAAGCCTGAAACTTGAAGGCAGATTCAACTAAATATCTGATTTGATTATTTATTTATTTTTACATTTATTTACCATCAACAAGTTAATTAAATTCATTTTCACATTTGTAATTTGAACATTTAGAATATCTACTGACGCTAGCTAAGCCTGTCACGATAACAAATTTTGCTGGGCGATTAATTGTCTCAGAAATTATTGCGATAAACAATAATATTGTTTGAAATTTGACAATAACTAGTAAGTATTGTCAAATTTAAGAAGAAATCTTGGTTAATTTATTTTGCGTGTAGTACCTTTTTTTGACCACCGGATGGCAGTATAAGACCGTTTGAACAAATGATGGATAGTGAGGGAGCGAGCAGCGTGTCTCTAATAAAAATGGGGGGGGGGGGGGCTTGACGTGACATGGGCTGTCTCTCTTTTATTCAATTCTCAAAATGGTGGACACTGTGTGGTTTGAGCTCTTTATCATAGCATTTTTCAAACAAAGTTTTTAATTAAAAAAAAAAAATCAGTAAACAAGTTCTCAGCTTCTTTTTGCAGAGAAAAACAACTGTTTACACAAAGGCACGGGTTTCAACTGTGAATTTTGGAGCTTCGAGGTCAGCCTGTTAGCTTAGCTTCTCAGCGATCCAAAAACGCGATTTTGAACCATTAAAACATATTTTAAAGAGAAAAAAGAAAGGGAGGAGTCAGTGAAGAGCACTGGAGTTGAGCCTTTTGTCATCCAGTGTCTTCAGTAGAAAGAGACACAAAGAAACGATAAAGCCGATAAATGAAAATGAGGTTGATCATTTTCATGTGAATAATTGATTTCTTGTTTATCTTGATATAAAACTAAATCCATAAGATTGAAAGTTCACCATATAGTAACATATTTGTTAACAGTTCATTCTAAAGCTGTCCAACGTATTTAAACAAAGTTTGACAGACTAGAAACAAACAGAAACTTAATTAGAAAAGATAAAAGCTCGACAGCTCTTTGATAACCCTGCAGTGTCTCTCCTCAGCAAACAAACGAGCTTTTAAAAAGCCTCTCGTGTCTAATTTTCAGCTCTTAAAAGTCTTTGATGATCGTCATTCAGCTCCCCCCACTGCTACCGTGTCCTCCCCACCTCTTCTCATCGCTATAGGCTCCAATTAAGAACCCCAAAATGGTATTTTTCTTGCGTTTTACAGGCACTCTTCCTCTGTGTACGACATCAAATCATCTCTACATCTGTTCTTTTGCTGCTTGAGATAGCAAAGGTTATAAAATATGAGCAGCAGAAGCTTTTGATGTGAGCACATTTCTAGCTTGTGCAAAAATAAAGTAAAAATGAGACTGAGGAGGTAAAGGCATAACGTTTTTGGACGGTATTATGCATCGGTAGAGACATAAAAGCTGCAGGTTTGATGAACTCTCAAGCCTCAGTTTCACATCATCTTTTTTCTATGAACCTAATCTGCTTCCAGACCTCCCTCCATCCTCCGTCCTGACCTCCGTGAGCTCTGAAAAGCACTTTAGCTTCATCTCTGTGGACGGTGGCCGCATCGATTCTTCCATCTGCGCTGGACTGTTGGCCGAGCTGCAGTTACAGCAGGGATGCAAGCCCCCGACAAGACGGATCTCTGCTACCAAGAAGCCACGAGACATTTCAAAACCAATTCTTCATCTTGAATCTGACGGCCTTTCCTCCACCTTCACCCTCCCTGCCTGCTTCCCCGTCAGCCCGCTCTGCTTTTAAACTACAGCACCAGGAATCGTCCACCTTTAGGCGAGACAGAGCTGTGTACTTCATAAAATACGAGTCATCTTTTGATCAGTAACAAAAACAAAGCTGAAGCTCTACTTTTTGTCCTTGTGTTGGTAAAGACATGATCAGTTTTCTGCGTTCGGTTCGAACTTGGCTCCTCACCTGCATTTCACCAAATCGATAATACGACATCTTGTACATGAGGCAGTTGAGTAGAGTCGGTGAACCCGCCTTGTCCACTCTGAACTCCCCCTGAGGAGTGAAGTAGTCGCTCTCCTGAAGAGGACAACAGAAAGAAAGGGAAAAAGGTAAATAATAATAACAATTTTGTCACAGAATAAAAAGTTTGCAGTAAAAAAAAATTAAAACAAATTAAACAAAAACATGTGAAACAAAGAAATAACGTACAGGTCTGAAGAATTAAATATTTAATTTTACCACCTGGATCACACCAAAACTGTATATTCCATTTTCGGCTTACATCACTTCTTTGCACCGTTATTTGAGTGAATATGTTGCAGCATCAATGGATCTTAAACTCTAATTTGTAATTAATAATAATCTATTTTACTAATCAGACTTGGAAAATACTGAAAACAAATATACTTTTTCAAATTGTGTAGAAACTCTGTGTAAACAATGAGGTTAAAATTAATTCTGCAGTAAAAGCAGCTGTTTGCATCAGTAATGACGTGAATGAGAAAACGTTCAAACCAAGTCGAACATTACAACTTAGAGAACTGGCAAAACGTTTTCATTACCGTACTTTCTGGTCTATAAGCCGCTACTTAATTCACAGGCTTTGAACCCCACAGCTTATACAGTGCTGTAGCTAATTTATGGATTATTATTTTTTTTTTTTACGGGCTAATGAGTTTCCTGATGTCAAAAACATTTAGCCTCATCACACACAGGCGCTCACATGTCTCTCTTGGGGGGTGGGTCCTCGTGACTCAATGAGACGACCTCATTGGTTCATTGTGGTCGACATGGCCTCAGGAAGGGATCATGGGTAAAATTAATGTTCAGTGTTAATCATTTCAGTTAGCTGTTTAGCATTGATTTTTTAGTGATTACCGTACTTTACGGACTATAAGTCGCTCGTTTTTTCATCGTTTGGCCAGTTCTGCGACTTTACGTTTTTATCCCAATTCATAACGCAATGTTTGACTGACGCGTTAAATGTTCATTTATACCGACATGAACCAAAGAGTAAACATTACCATTTGCTGCCATGAGAGAGTTGTCTAGGCTTTTGACAACTATATCTTGTTCCTCTTCATGAGGCATTTTTTGACTGATGCGACCTATAGTCAGGAAAATATGGTAGTCTGCTCTTCTTAGCTTAGTTTATGTGTTACATTCTGTGTTAGTTTGTGTTAGGCCATTTACCGTATTTGTCGCTGTATAAGTCAGTTTTTTGCATCATTTGCATGCCCTGCGACTTATACGCCGAAGCGACATATTTATAGATTTTTTCCCATATTTAAACCAATTTTTGGCTGAGATATGACCGTTTTCATTCATTCTGACTGAAAATATTGAACACAACCATTTTCAGCTGCCAGATGGCACTCGACTCGACGTGTATGGCATGCCGTTTTATCATGTAATTGGTAAAAGTGGCTATTAATGACATAATCAGCTTGCCATACAGCGCCACCATCGTCTGCCTGGAGCAACCGTCAAATCAGTTTCATTTCGCTGCGCTGCCCCAGCGAAATGAAACTGATTTGACCATTGAAGTGCATTTATTAAGGAAAAGTTCAACTGAGACACACCTTTACTATAAAGTCGAGCAAACAATTGTTTTTAGGTGGTTTTCTTGTTAAATTTCGAAGAAATGGACAGCGAGTCGCCCTTCATGTTTCTGCGTATCGGCTTTTGAAAATGCAGCTGATTTGATTGTCAAAGTGCATTTATTAAGGAAAAGTTAGACTGAGACACACCTTTGCTGTAATTTTGAGCAAACAAATAATTGTTTTTAAGTGTTAATCTTGTTAAAGTCCTCCAGTGCATGCTCCCATGGCCTCCATTTGGCAGCCAATCGATTTTTGGCACAACACCGGCCCACATTTCCAGGTTGTCAACAGTGACGTGTAACAAACATGATGCGTCAGCGGTTAAGCAACGTATTTATGGATTTTTCCACTTTACTAAACAAATATGGACTGATGTGACTTATAGGGCGGTGCGACGTATATGGTGGAAAATACGGTAGTAGAGAAACCATGAGTGAGAGCGGTAGTTATCATGAAGACGTGTGATTCACTCTGTGTTAAACAGTAAGATGAAGTCTATAAGACGCCATCTGGTGGTTGAATCTAAATCTACAACAAGAGCTGCACATCTCAGTAGCTGTGTGCTGCCACTCATGTTACAACGTGAACACCCGTGGGTGCATGCTTATATTCGTGTGTGCTCCATAGACTGGCAATTACAATAGGTGTGTCTAATGCAGGTTATTCTTCTGTTTGTATAAAATCAGAATGAAAGCACATCATTTTTACTTTATTTGAAGTAGCCAGCATATCAAGATGTAAACTGAAACATCCATACAAGTGATGCAACAAAGAGGCTTGCTGATTCAGAAAGCATCAAAGCCACGACGGCCCTGATTACACATCTGCTGTGAGCTGCTTCACTGCGTGGACCAGTGCGCCTCCTAACGTGAATCTGTCGAGTAATTCACGAAGACTGAAGCTCGTCCTGCAGGTCTCTCACTCACCCTGATGTCTTTGGGATGCTCCCCCTCCGCTATCCTCACCATCCACAGGAACTTGTTTATATCGTCTCCGGAGTAGCCGATTACCCCTCCGAAAATGATCAGCACATAGTCCACATCCAGCGACCTCATGATTTCATAAGCTGCGCTCTCATTGGATGACATGGCCTTCCCCACCTAACAGCAACGACAAAACTTTTAATAATGTTTCCTGCTATAAGGAGCAGCACAGCACAGACAGTAAGGAGAATTATTAAACAGAGACGCATCATGTATTCTCTGTAATTATATTTCCTGTGGAGCCACGCTGCAGACACCACACGCAGCAGGTAGGAAGCGAGAGAGAAAAGGCTACAGGGCTTCAAGACTATAAGACTAAAAACATTTGTCTACAGATGACAGCAAAGACAAAGAAAAATAAATCAACCCCACAAAATCTGACAATTAACTGATATTCCCCTACAGTGAAAATTCAGCTGGAAAAGTTTAAACAAATAGGATTATCAGGCTCGTGGGAGGGAGCGGCGTTATACAATGTGGCAATTACGCACAAGACTCACAAAGGAGCCGGCTCATCACCCAGCTGCTGCGTCTGTTTCACTGGATTTATGCAGAAGAGCTCTTACCAGTGCTATGTGGCTGTTGTTCCATGTGTTGTTGTCCACCAGAGTGGTTCTGTTGGCCATGCCGGCGATTTGGTAACCGTAGTCCCACCAGGACATGACGCGGGCGTGCTCGTCCGTGTTCTGCCTCAACCAGTAATAAGCTTCCCTGAAGTCATCCAGGATGTTGCGCGACCTTTAAAAAGTCAATAATGACAACATCAGACATGTCTGCAGCAGAGTCGGGCCCATTTCGAGCAGATGGGCCTCAGACACCGACAGCGTTTCTGGATCGAATATCGAACAGAGGTCACCGAGCCAAACTGCATTCTGGATTCAGCAAATATTTGTTGTCTGGTATTAAATTAGAAATTTAAGCTCACAGCTACAGTTTAGACGTAGCTTATCTTCTGCAGAGTGAGCAGTGCGTCCGTTCGGCTTATCTTTTTATTATCAACAGGAGAATAAAAAATAAAAAAGACAGCAACTGGCTGAGTGTGTAAATGTACACATTTAAGGAGGTGGAAGCTGTTACATTACAACTCCGCAAACTGATGGCAGGAAACAGAGGAACAAGAAAAACAAGCAAAAGAGAAAAGTTAAAACAAACTAGAGGCATTGCCTTTCCTGCAAAAATGCAGTGTGAATGAATATAGCTGAAGAAATCGCAGAAAAACAGCTGAAATTACGGTAACAAAAAAAAAAACATGCTGAAATGTAGCTGAAATTGAAGAACAAGCCTAAATGAGCAGAAGAAATCAGAAAAAAAAACATATTTGCTGAAATATGTTTAAATAAGCAGAAATAAGCACAAAAATTAAGTAGCTAAAAAAAAAGTTGAAATTAGCAACAACAACAAAAAATATGTCTGAAAAGTAGCTTGAAGGCAAATTAGCTTAAAAAATGTGGAATTTGCTGACAAAGCCAAAAATTGTATAAAAAAAGCTAAATAGTAGAAATGGCTGAAACTAGCTTAATTAAGCTGAAAGTAGCATAAAGAAGTTAATTAGGCTGAAAGTAGCAGAAATTACCATGGCAATTTATCTGAAAACAGCTGAAATTAGCTACAAAACGCTAAAAAGGTAGAAGATGAGGTAGAACAAGCTTAAATTAGTATAAGAAAGCGGAATGAACACGTTTGTCCAATTAGGCTGAAAAAAGCTGAAATTATATGAAAAAAAGCTGAAATTAGCAACCTCCCCAAGAAAGAAGAAGAAAAACAGCTGAAAAAAGGCAGAGAAGCCTAAATTACCAGAAGGAAGTGGAGAGAGCACATTTTTGATGAATTAGGTAGAAAAAAAGTTGAAATGAGTGCAAAAAATGTTGAATTAGCTGAAAGCTAAAATTAGCCAAAAACTACTAAATAGTAGCTAAAATAGTAGAAAAAGCTCAAGTTAGCAGAAAGAATCTGAAAGGAGCACAAAACAGCTGAAATTAGATGAAAATAGCTGAAATTTGTACAAGTAAGCTGAAAGAAGCTGAAGCAGAACAAAAAGTGAACGGAGCAGTAAAATGTAAACACATCTAAAGATTTGAAAGATGTAAAATGAGATCAGTTCATTTTCGATGAGGACAAAAAGTTGCTCATCTATTTCAGCTGGCAGCTTTAAATATGTGCAAAAGTTGCAGCATCATACTTTACACCATGTGCAATTTATTGATGTAACATTACCCAACAATAGCAACATGAACTACAACAAAAACAAAACTGTAAATTTAAACCATAGTTCTGGATGAGTGCATCTCTGTCCTGCAGAAGCCATTAATATTTTAGTTAAGATGAAATCAGAAGTGGAACAGACTCAAGTGAAGCAAAGTAAACATTGTGACATTAAATCAGGTTAAGAAGAATTGAGGCCAGCCTTGGATTTAACTACAAGTACAGTAATTAGATTACATGTTTGTGTATTTATGTGCGGCCATATTTATACACAAGAACATTGACAGTCAAGCTGCTCCCATTGTCTGAGAACAGACTATAATATCATAAATATATGTATGAGAACTTGTGGCTCTGACGTTTAGCCTTCGCTGCATTAAAAGAATTATTATGCTCGAACAGCGTCTCCGGGAAAATATATCAGATTTTTATAAACTCGGATGTTTGCTCGTAACCCAGAGAAACCATGTAAAACAATCGACTCGGCGCTTACAGCTTCACATAAATACTTCAATAAGTCTTATTATGAAATATACATGTCACCTGCAGCGCTCCTGCATGCACACGTATGATCTGCATGAAACGTGAAGGAATCAATCCTCCTGCATTATGGATCATCAGCTTTTCTTATTCAATCATCTCGGAGCAGTGTGACGTGTGGAGCTCTTACCCGTCGTGGTTGTATGACGCCAGCACCACGCTGGGGCTGGAGTAGGCGTTGCTGGTGACCCACGTGCAGTGCACGGCGAACATCATCAGCAGCATCAGCATCAACATGGTAACTATAGACTTGATGTTTGGACCCAGACCCTCCTCTGCCTTCTCCTGCTCGGACACGTGCTTACGCACCTTACCAGCCTGCAGAGGGAGACATGTCCCGTTACAACTGGAGGAAAACCACCACCAGCCCCAGAACATGAATTATTGAGTGGAATCAATCATTGATCCAACTAAATGAGGAAAAGTCTTTAGGAGCAGCTGCAACCGTTTTTTTTGTGCTGCGTGGAGAAGCGTCGCGGTGAAATGTGAGATGAACCCTGAGATGACTTGATTTTATTTTTCTGCAGCAGAAAATTACTCAAGTAAAAAATAATAAATCACTGAAGTCAGTCGAGACCATACCTCTGGTTCAAAATCAGCAAAGATTCAGATGAGCTAAGATTAGCCAAAAGTGAAATATTCAACTGAAACATTCACAAACACAAGGACTATAATTTCTAATAACATTATTACGGCAACATTACTGAAATCTACATGAAATTAAACACATTTAAATCATTTCAGAGCTGTGTTTCTGAATATTAGGTTTTATAATTTAGGATTTTGTGTGATAAATGCTTTGTACCGTTGATTTAATGAGATGTCTTCACGTGCATGTTTTTCTTTTAGAAGAGCCCATTATCCTGGTTAGATCTAGATTTAATTCAACTCAGTTTATTTATAAAGCACCAAGTCCCAACAGAAGTCGTCTCACGACACTGAACAGAAACATTTATACATATAAAGTAATTTAATGTTAATTATCATGTCCTGAACAACTGAAGCTTCATGTGTTTACTGCATGTTGGTCTTTTTTTTTATTATTCCATACGTTTGTTTTTTTCTGAATAATTAGAAAATGGGGGGGGGGCGCCGCCCCCCCCCCCCCACAAACACGGTATTATTTAATTTATTAATTTATAAAAACACGAAGGAAAGAAGAAAAGAAATGAAGAAAAGGAAAAAAAGAAAAAGGAAAGAAGAAAGGAAAGAGGAAAAGAAAGAAAGAAGAAAATGAAAGAAAGAAAAAAGAAAAGAAAGAAGGAAAGAAAGAAAAATCAAAGAAAGAACGATAGGGAGGAAAGAAAGAAGAAAGGAAAGAAAGAAGAAAGGAAAGAAAGTAAGAAGTACCTATCAATCTATCCATCTCTCTATTCATCCATCTCTCCATCCATCTATCTATTTATCTATCTCCATCCATCCATCCATCTCTCTATCCATCTCTCTCCATTCATCTATCTATTTATCTATCTCCATCCATCCATCCATCCATCTCTCTATCCATCTCTCTCCATTCATCTATCCATCTCTTCATCCATCTATCCATTTCTTCATCCATCTATCTCTTTCTCTCCATCCATCCATCCATCCATCCATCCATCTTTCTCTATTCATCTATCCATCTCTTCATCCATCTATTTATCTCTCTCTCTCTCCATCCATCCATCTCTCTCCATCCATCCATCCATAGAATGAACTAACCAAACAAAGGACAACAATAAAGCACCTGTGCTCAATCAGAACAGGCTGATGACTCTGGACATTGTGAATAAAGTGATGGAAACAACTGAACTTGTGCACGTTGGAATTCAAAACTCACTATTTTTAAATTTTCCAAGCGTTCATTTGAGTAACGAGGCGCGCTCCTTGAATTGAAACAACTCTGTTAAAGAGGTATACGAGGGCAATGATGCGACGCTTGTGTTGTGAGTGGAGAACTTGGTTCAGAGTCCAACAAGGGGGGGGGGGGGGGGCACAACGATGGAAGCAGCTTCAAACAGTTGCAGCCGAGTCACTGTTGACTCACAGTTTACTCAAACTGTCGGGAAGTGACAAGGGAAGCTGACAAACGTGCCGATAACAAATCCAAACCACAAAGCGGTCGTGACGAAAACTGCTCCCTCAATCTTCAATATAAATACTAGGCAGTTAAAAATCCCACATTACGGTCAATCCTTAGAGATTATCAGAGAAACTGGAGCGATTCCACCCGTCTTGCCTTGTCATAGAGATTCCCAGAGTTCCTCTTGTCGTCCTCGTCGCTGCTGTCTTCAGCAGGAGGCTTCTCCCTCTTGGTGTCGTCTCCCATGTAATGCTCAAAGACGCTGGAGAAAGCCACAGCCGACAGCATGCACACCACCGGAGTCAGCGTCAGCATCAGCCGCACCATCACACCGGCAAAATACACGGCGCTGATGGCGTACAGCGCCACTGGAAGGCAGAGCACAGAAGAGCGGTGGATGAGAGGCATTAGAAGAGAGAAAGGGTCAGACAAGGACACCGCAGTGATAGAAACAGATACTGAGCAGTAATACGGTATATCAACTCGTCGTTAGATTTGCAGAACCTTAAATGAAACGATGTCTTCTCCTCGTCCTTGAGAAGTGTCCACCAGGTTCAACATGCGCACGCTGATCGATATCTCTTACAGACTAATTAAGTGGAGGGTACAGACAGACCTGCTTTTAGCTTTCAGAAGCCTCCTCGTTCTTGATCGGAGCCATTTTTCTCTGCGAACCTTAAAAAGTTTAGTAAAAAGGCTCCGTCTGTCTTTATTTGCGGCTGTTTAAAAGCGTGCAGAAAGAAGAAACGCTGATCTACGGTGGCTGTTTGAGACAAAAGGCTCGTAAAAGCAGATTTTCATACAAGCTGATCAAACGTTATCGCTGCAGAACGAGCGTTTAAAAAGGTCGCCTTGCAGCTAAGCTGACAAGGATTAAGCTGTGATCTAAGAAAAGGTTATTTCATTAATCACCTGCACTAATATATATATTTATGTAGGGCTTTTATGTTTTCTTTCCAATACAGTTCAAGAAGGATTTTGCTTTTAGAGTCATAAAAAGTCTGATCAAAGTTGAACATGAAAGCATCAATGTTAGGCACTTTTTTTTTAAAGTAGGAAACATTCAGTCACAGATGATAAAAGTGTTATGACACTTCTTGCTGGTTGGAGTGAAACATGAATATAAATAAATATTTGTTGTCTTTATAACAAAAAACTGATGCAATATATGTTGGGAGTTTCCCATTTGGATTTTTTTTTATTTATCATAAGGTGCTTTCACAGAAAGAAACCGAGCGTTCATATCTGGAGTCCAGCATTCAGTCACCCCATCGTTGATCGCGTTGATTATTTTTCCCCGCTCGTCAAACGCTCAGGAGAAAGTGACAGACGGATTAAATATAAACAGGAGCCGTCAGTTTGAGAACAACCACTCCCACCTGAGGACAAACCCACTTCCTGTTTGTCAGGTAACGGAGCTCTGTGAATTACAGTCCTCGTACAGTCCAAGTTTCTCGTAACGTTAAAATTCAAACTCAAACGCGTCATGTTGAGTTTAAATCAGAGCTGCAGCCGCAGGTCAAATGTTTTTAATCTCTTTCTTTAGGCTCCACTCGACTGCAGGTAAAATTATCTGAGTTAACAACTTTTACAAAGAAAGTTTGTGATTTATTTAACCGATAAAGTAGCTAATCTCTTATCAAATTAATCCAACGAAGCGGCTCGTTGAAGCTTTTACAGGACTTCAAACTTGGATGGAAGTTTTTAGAAGGTGTTTAAAATGACAAACCCTGACATTTGAATCCAAAGAGCCATTGTGTAAATGTTTATGAAGCATTCACACTATTGTCATCCTTGTTTCTTCCGTACGTTTTTCAGCATCTTTTTCGTTACACATATTTTGTGCTGGTTCAACAAATCATGAATCAAAACATTCAGCTCGTTCAGGAGAAGGGTGATAAGACTTTTGGTATTGATGCAACTTTTTTGAAATATTTAGCTTTTTCTGCCAGTTTTTTTTCCTCATAGAAAATGAATTGAGCTCATTTTACATCCTTCAAATCTTTAGATGTGTTTACAACCTTTTACTGCTCCTTTCACATTTTGTTCTGCTTCAGCTTCTTTCAGATTCCTTGTGCAAATGTAAATGTTTTTTCAGCTACTTTCAGCTTATTTCAGCTGTTTTTTCAGCTATTTTGTGCTCCTTTCAGCTTATTTCTGCAAGTTTTAGCTTTTTTTTTTGCTATTTCAGCTACTATTTAGCTGTTTTATGCCAATTTTAGTTTTTTCAGCTAATTTTTTGCACTCATTTCAAATTGTTTAGCCTATTTCAGCATAAACGTGCTCTCTCCACTTCCTTCTGGTAATTTAAGCTTCTTTCTGCCTTTTAAGCTACTTTTAAGAATTTTGCTAATTTCAGCTTTTATCAGATAATTTCCACTTTTTGTGCTCATTTCTGCTTCTTTCAGCTTATTTAAGAAAATATATGTCCTTTCTGCTTTCTTATTCTAAGTTAGGCTTGTTCTACCTTTTCAGCTAATTTCAGACATTTTTAGATTAATTCAATTAATTAATGAATTAATTACAGTAATTCAAATGTTGAATTCAATAAATTCTTTCAGCAAAATGAACTTGTTTATGTTAATTTCAGCTTGTTATGCTCCTTTTGGCTTTTCAGTTTCAGCTTTTTTTTTACAATGTCAGTTACTATTTAGCTTTTTTATGCTAATTGTAGCTTTTGCAGCTAATTCTACACTTTCTGAGCTCATTTCAGATCTTTCCACTTCCTTCTGGTAGTTTAAGCTTCTTTCTGACTTTTCAGCTACTTTTCAGCTTTTTTTGTTGTTGTCAATTTCAGATTTTTTTTTTAGCTCATTTCTTAATTATTGTGCTAATTTATGCTTATTTAAACATAATTCAGCAAATACATGTTCTTTCTGCTTTCTCCTGCTAATTTAGGCTCGTTCTTCCATTTCAGCTACATTTCAGCTGTTTTTCAGCAAGTTCTTCTGCAATAAGCAGTTTCAGTGTTTTGAAAAAGTACCATGAGCTTAAAGCTGCTCCCTCATGGTGTTTATTCACAAACTTGATCATTTCAGATAATAAAAAAAGCATCTTTAATCGTTTTATATTCACACTGCGGACCTATAAACCAGAAACAAATCGTAAGGAGACTAAAGATTCCCACATGTTTACATGTTTCGCCTCAAACAGCTGAGAGGATAACTCACATTCTGCCTGTAATTACAAATAAAATCTTTCGTGTGCTTGTATTTTTCTTTTGCCAATAAAACTCAAGTTTAAATGTCACAGAATGTGACACAAATTACAATATGTGTAAAACTTTTCCTGTAGTTAATCAATAAAGTTCTATCTCATCTCATCTCAATAAACCTGCAAGATTTGGACTCTGAGCTAAATGTTGGTGTGTTTTATTGTTCTTCATGTTACTGTGGAGTGTCCGAGCCCCAGAACCAAATTAAATCTACGCCTGGAGCTGATAGAAATGTCAGTTTTGCAGATATCTTAACCAAACTTTGACTAAATTACATGTTCATCTGCGTGTGAAAAGGTTAAGAGTTGTCAATAATTCAATAGCTGTGGAGATATTTCAGGGTGTGCTTAGGAAAAACAAACAAGATATGTAAAAAATAAATAAATAAATAAAAGGTGAAAGCAACAAACCGGTGGTCAAAACAAAATAAAACGCTGCACAATATCGTCGATATGTCAACCAGAAGACATTTCATCTGAAGTTAGGGTTTCATACCGAAAACACGTTCGTCATTGATGTTTTTGATGCAAAACCAAAGGCCTGCTGGGAAGGTGCACACCAGGATGTGCAGATCGAAGAAGAAGGAGACCCACGTGGTCGGCTGGTGCTCCGACACCGACGCGATGATGGGGATGTGGATCTTGGCGTAGCTGTGGAGAGAAGGAAGATGAAGGGAGGGGGGAAGACAGACAGGTTGTAATTCATGCACGCTGTGGGAATGTCGACACAATTAATACAACAGATCTTCCTGATTAACTGGAATTAGGAGGAAAAAAGGGGGAATTAGTTTGCTTCTTTACATATTTACAGCAGAGTCTCTAACAAATGGAACGATTTGCTGTTAGTTTGATTTGTGCGTTGCTTTTAAATTAATTATCAGCTTTTACAACATTTTTTATAAGTCGAGGGTTTGTATTTACTGGGAGCCTCCAAATGAGAGGAGACGCACCCCCCCCCCCCCCCATCCAAACAAAATAGCCCCTTTCTGCTTAGATCAGCAAATCCGGCAGAGTTGGTGTGTGGGATTGATTAGTTCTGTAACTTCACAAACGTTGCAGAGCATCTGGAGAAACACGGTGCGCCGTCCAGCACAGCCTGCAAAGATTTCCCCCCTGAGATGTTGCAGAGCGGGTTTACGGTCGTCTCAAAACACACACACACACGTGCACTCGATTGAACACGTGTTCCATCGACAGAGGAAGTGCGAAGGTCAGCAGAGCTTACCCGGTGTCCCAGAGAGAGTAGAAACGGCCGCTCCACGGAGCGATGTATCCTGCAGGCAGAGAAGAGGATCAATAAAGAAATGCTGCTGTTTTAAGGTTTTTCATGCAAAGACGCCAACGTGCGGGAATTGTTTGTAGGCGTGCACAAAGTTCGTCTTACTGTGAAGTTGTGCAGGAATATGAACGTTAGATCCTAAAATTATTACCTTAACCATAAGGACTGCTGTGCAACAAAATGTGCTTGTCTGTATACAAACTTTGCAGCTTTGCATGAATACAGTAGTCCCTCGCCTATCGCGTAGGTTACGCTCCAGACAAATGGGTGAAAATCCGCAAAGTAGGGATGTTTTTTTTTTTCTTTTTAGTATTTATATATATTTTAAGGCTTTATCAACCCTTCCCACACTCTTGCAATGTTCTTAATGTTCCAAACTCTCTAAAAGAGCAAAGCGAAAGAGAGCAGACAGACTGATGCTACGGTTACTGAGGCAACCCAGGAGTGGACTGGCCATCGGGAGCACCTGGACATTTCCCGGTGGCCTGGCCCGCTCTGCGATTGCCGAGGGGGACTACAGGCTCGGTTGGGGTCACACTTGATTATTTTAAATAAACAATCCATGCCGCTCGTGTGGCTCACTCAGGTACAAGACAGAACCCCCCCCAGCCCCGCCCCCTCCTTTCCCTTTCTGATGCTGTCTGTCACAGCAGAACAGGGACACACAATGGGTTGCGTGCCCACCTGTTTCACTCTGTGCTGCTGTGACAGACAACATCAAAAAGTCATGCCAAATGTATTTATATAGCACATTTAAAACAGTAACTGTTATCAAAGTGCTTAACAAAAAGATCACAGCATCAAATAAAAATAAGATATAATTACAGCATCAGAAATAAAAGCATAAAAACACGAAACATAATCAGCAACAATGAAATACCACATCAGATCACGCTGTGTTCAAGGTCAATGAGTACAGGTGTGTTTTGAGGAGAGATTTAAAAGCAGAGACTGAAGTGGCCTGTCGAATGTTGATGGGCAGACTGTTCCAGAGTTTAGGGCCCATGACTGAAAACGCCCGATCTTCTCTGAGCTTCAAAAAGAGAAAGGAGGAGGCACCTTGGCGATCACCTAGCGGGCCAGGCCACCGGGAAATGTCCCGGTGCTCCTGATGGCCAGTCCGCCACTCGGCACAATGCTCTGGTTGGTCAACTTTTATCAATTAGCCAACCGTGTGTCATGTACAAACTTACGCTGAAAACCCGCAAAAGAGTGAATCCACAAAAGTTGAACCGTGAAGTATTGTGGTACTACTGTACGCATAATCTACCTATACACCCGTCCACAAACTTTTATACAGAAAACTATAGCAATGGACTGGATAAGCTGACCTTATATAACTGTTGACAATTTGTATCCTTGGCCTTGTAGCTGGGGTGACAAAAGATTAAACGACACGCTGTCTAGAGGTGGTACAAACGCATACCAAGTTATCTTATATTATCCTGAATGGATCTGAAGTTATGGCTAGGAAAAGCTAAGACCTCATCTAAACTTTGACCTTGACTTGTATCCTTGATCTTGGGGCTGGGGCGATGAAAAGTGCAGGCGACACTTAATCGAGTGACGTTGCACGCGTGTATGAAGGTTTGTTGAATTATCTGGAGCGTCTCAGAAGTTACGGGACTAAATCATAATACGTCCGCCTTTCGACAGGCTCCAAAAAACTATTTGTTTTTTTTTAACTAATGCAATCATCAACACAACTTTATGACAAAACTCACGTTGCTGTGTTTAAATTAACTGCTGACTAAAACAAAAAATATTAAAAGACCCATTAAATTGAAATCCAGTGGCTGAACACACAAAAAAAGCTTTCTGACAACTGCAGTTTAAAAAGATCAAGAAAACCCTTAGCAGGGATCGTGTAACCGATGAAAATGTATTTTATTGATGCTGCCTAATTAGGGGGAATTGACTTGTTTATAAATGTAAGTGAAAGCATTTAAGCTGCAAATTAGACCGAACAGGGCATTTACAAATGTCTTCTTTTAGTTCGGCTTTGATCTGGAATACATTTCAGCTCTGTATCCTGGGGGTTTATAGACCCGTACGAACACGCGCTCAGACAACACAGTAAAGTCTCCTTCCTATATTCTGCACTGCATCGTGTGCATGCACCAATAATGCTCTGCGTTAATTCAGGTAGATTGAATAAGATTAGATTCCTAAATGAAACGTTACAAAACTCAAAACGCGTGAAAAATGCAGCAGCGAAGAAATGGAGATACAACGAGAGGTGATTTATCGGACGGTACTGATTCATCCGATCAATAGTTGGCTCCGTGATAAAGATGGTGAGAAAAATACCCGGCTACTGTGCTGCTCGGATTCTGAGATGAAAGTCTGACAGATTGGAGTGAGATGTGTGCAAAAACTGGCAAAACACCCCACAGTCACCGAGTCCTGCTGCTCAGTTCAGATGGTGGACAGGCTGCAGCGTTCACCAGACGAAGCCGGTACCTTGAAGTGACTGAACGTCTGAGTCCACATGAGTCATCAGTCCATCATGGTGTGGATCTAAGGCCTAAGCAGCTCTTTGTTTTGCTGCTCAGGGAAAACTCCAGCTCACAGTGTTTACATAATCTAGAGCTGCAGAATGTTGAGCTGAACATCATCCTGCTTCTGATGCAAAAGAAAATCCAGGCGTATAAAATCCAAGAGGACGTCGGCTTGTTGTGAAAATGTTTACGAAGCATTCACACTATTGTCATCCATTTTTCTTCCGTACGTTTTTCAGCATCGTTCTCATTCCACATTTATTGTGCCATTTCCACAACTCGTATCAAAATGTTCAGGTCGTTCAGGAGAAGTGTTATGACTTTTAGTATCGGTGCAACTTTAGCTTTTTGAAATATTTAGCCTTTTCTGCCATTTTTTTCCTCATAGGAAATTAATTGAGCTCATTTATGTCCTTAAAATCTTTAGATCTGTTTACAACCTTTTACTGCTCCTTTCACATTTTGTTCTGCTTCAGCTTTGTGAAAATTTCAAATTTTTTTCAGCTACTTTCAGGTAATTTCAGCTGTTTTGTGCTCCTTTCTGATTCTTTTTGCTATCTACAACATTTTTGTGCTTCTTCTAACTTCTTTGCTAATTTCAGCTTGTTATGCTCCTTTCAGCTTATTTCTGCTAGTTTAAGCTTTTCTACTATTTAGCTGTTTTATGCTCATTCTAGCTTTTTCAGCTAATTCCACATTTTTCAGCCTAATTCAGCAAAAATGTGCTCTTTCCACTTCCTTCTGGTAATAAAAACTTTTTTCTGCCTTTTTAGCTTCTTTTCAGCTGATTTTTGCTAATTTCACCAGTGTGTTCATTTCTGATTTTTTCAACCTACTTGAGCATGTGCTTTCTGCTTTCTTCTGCTAATTTAAACTTGTTCTAATTTTTCAGCTACATTTTTAGCCAATTGTAGCCGTTGTCAGATAAATTCAAGTTTTCCATGGTAATTTCTGTTACTTTCAGCCTAAATTACCTTCTATCTAGTAATTTCAGCTTGTTATGCTCCTTTCAGCACATTTCTGCTAATTTCAGCTTTTTCTGCAAATTCAGCTACTATTTACTGCTAAGTTTAGCTTTTTCAGTTAATTCCACATTTTTTAGCTCATTTCAGCGCATTCTGCTTCTTGTGGTAGTTTAAGCTTTTTTAGCCTTTTCAAATACTTTCCAGCAATTTTTCTTCCGCTAATGTCCGTTTTAGCTAATTTCCTTTTTTTTTGGTTGATTTCTGCTTCTTTAAACCTAATTCAGCAAGTTTGTGTTCTTTTTGGTTTTTTCTGCTGATATAGGCTTGTTCTTCCATTTCAGCATTTTTTAAGTTATCTGCAGCTGTTTTTCAGCAAATTCTTCTGCAGTAAGCATTCACACTGCATGTTTGCAGGAAATGTAATTTCTCTAGTTTTATGATTATTTCAGAAGCTGTGCAAGGCAAGAAAAGGCGCCAAGATGACTCAGAAGTTTCAGATCTGTTTTTGTCCAGTTAAAACTGAACACTTCAGCAAGAGAAGCAAAAATCAATGACAACTGGTTAGAAACATTAAGCTCTGTAATCATGCCACAAACAGGCTGAAAGTAATAAGGAATAAGTTCAAGCAGCTGGCTGCACATACAAAAGCTAGTTCACTTTAAAAAAAGGCATTTGGAGGAACAGAATGATCTAAACCTCATGAGAACTCCAATCCAGCATTTCAAATCTGTTTATATTTGTTTATCATGCGCCGTCCAAGTTTCATTTTCTGCCACACGAAATGCTGATTAGCGTCCCACTGGGAAGGCCTGCAGGTCAGACCATCAGGGGTTAGTAGAGAAGCACTCTGCGAGGTTTGGCTAAAAAAGAAAAGAAAGATCTAAAATGGCTGAAATCCCAGATTTGGCTCATCAAGAAAATACAGACTGCTGATACATCTATAATTACACTTCAGTATTTCTGCAGAAATTGTACAATAGTTCTCAAAAACAAGCTCCATAAGAAATTAAAATGTTATTTTGTTTCGTTTTTGGCCTTCATGTAATAAAAACCAGGTTAAAAGTTTTTACACGCTTCACATAGTTCAAAATAGCTGCTCTGTCAAATGTCTGCGTGCCCGGTTTAAAAAAAGGCGAATATGAATGAATCAAATTAACATTTTTATTCTAAACTCTTAAAACTAGAGTGGATTGTGAGGAAAACGGGTTTAACGAGTTTTAAAAAGCTACCAAGAATCCTCAGTTAAAAGTTCTTTGTCCCATGTGAGTTGTATCTTTTCTGCTTTTTCTGCGAGAGCAGCTCATTTCTGTCTGATCAACATATTTTGGACATAAAACAAGTGAGCTACAACAGAAATATGTTCATCTGCAGAGCTGTTTGTAGTACCGTATTTTTCAGCCTATAAGTCATAGATTTTTGCATAATTTGCATGACCTGTGACTTATACGTCAAAGCGACTTATTTATGAATTTTTCCCGTATTTATAAATCAATTTTTGGCTGAGATATGACCATTTCCATTCATTCTGACTGAAAATATTGAACACTACCATTTGCAGTCACTAGATGGCACTTGAGTCGTATGGCATGCTGTTGTATCATGTAGGTAAAAGTGGCTCCCAGAGCACCGAGGCAGCAAATACTTTTGAAAATGCAGCTGATTTGACTGCCAAAGTGCATTTATTAAGTCAAAGTTCAATTGAGACACACCTTTACTATAATTTCGAGCAAATAATTGTTTTTAGGTGGTTATCTTGTTAAATTTCTAAGAAATGCACAGTAACTCGTCCCTCTGCACATTCCTGTTTCCGCGTATCGGCTTTTGAAATGCAGCTGATTTGACCGCCAAAGTGCATTTATTAAGCACAAGTTAAACAGAGACACAGATTTACTATAATTTCGAGCAAACAAATACTGTGTTTTCTGCCCTATAAGTCGCAGTTTTTTGCATAATTTACATGCTTTTTGACTTATAGGCCGAAGTGACATATTTATCAATTTTTTTCCAATATTTATAAACCATTTTATGGCTGAGATATGACAGTTTTCATTCATTATGACTAAAAAAAAAAGAGCAGCCACTTTCAGCCACTTGATGGCAGCAGAGTAGTAGTAGCAGTAAGGCATGCTGTTGTATCATGTAATTGGTAAACGTGACTATAATGACAAATTCAAAAAAGTTAAAGATAAAAACAACTGGACTATTTATTATACTTAATTTTTTTCTTGAACTTTTTTGAATTTACCTTGTCCTGGATGATTGAGAATCTTCACCAGCTATTAATGATACAATCGGCTTGCCACAGTCTCCCCACCTTCGTTCTGCTCGCTGCTTGGAGCTCAGCTTCAATTTCCTGCACCGCCCCAGTGAAATGCAGCTAATTTGACCATTAAAGGGCATTTATTAAGCATATGTTACACTGAGACACACACTTACTATAATTTTGAGTAAACAAACAATTGTTTTTAGGCATTTATCTTGTTCAATTTGCACAGCGACTCATCACGTGCACGCGTTTACTTCCGCGTATCGGCTTCTGAAATACAGCTGATTTGACCGTCAAAGTGCAAATGTTAAACTAAGACAAACGTTTACTACAATTTCGAGCAAATAATTGTTTTTAAGTGTTAGTCTTGTTAAAGTTCTCCCGTGCACGCTCCTGCGGCCGCCATTTGGCAGCCCATCGATTTTTGGCACAACACCGGCCCACATTTCTGGGTTGTCAGCGGTGACTTGTAACAAACATGACGTGTCAGTGGTGACGCATAATAGATGCAACGCATTCATGGATTTTTCCACTTTAGACATATTTGGACTGATGCAACTTACAGGGCGGTGCGACGTGTACGGCGGAAACTATGGTACTAATGCAGACCAATGACAGAACTATACTGTGACTGTTCATATCATCAGGTACTACAGATCATTTACTGGTCATACATGCACACTTCTACACCCACACACATTTATACTCCCATATTTAAACCTTTAAGGTTCCTGCTGACAGACGAATGTCTATTTTAATCAGAAAGTGATAAGGAATATTCAGCTGCATCTTGACCTACTTTTCCCATTTTTGCTTTGTTTGATTGGCATGTACAAATGCACATAAAGGCAGGCTTTACGCAGTGTGTTGACGTTAACATTGAACATTTGGGAGCCCTAAAGGAACTGTGATCTGAGCAAAAATATCTCTGATTATGTGACAGCTATACGAGAATAAAACTATAGGGTCAGCTTCAATACATAATATCATAGTAGTTATAAATGAGGTCATGTGTTTTACCTTCCATCTATAAAACTTTGTGTAGAATTAATATTTTCAAATGAATTTAATGTAAATTGCAAATAAAAATAGTCATTTTTTTATTAAAAAGGATAAAGTACTTAAAAAAAATCCCACCTTTTAGATGCTTAACTCATTTAAATAAATTTAAAAGATCTGAAACCTTTTTTTTTAAGGTCACAACACTCCACTACATGGCTTACAAATAGTTTTAACGTGCGGAGATACAGACCTGTGTATGTGAGATAGATGACTGTGAGGAAAACTACACAGGCAGCCAGAGAGATTCCAAGGAAAAACAGCGTCTGAAACTCCTGTCGGGTGAGTCTGTCTTTCAGGTACTGCAGGAAGGCGTACGCTTGGAGAAGTGCAAACACACCTGAGAAAAAGGCACAGGCAGACATAAAAAAGATGAGCAAACACACAACGAAAACTCAAAGTGAATGTTTGAGGAGGCCCCAATTGATGTTGCATCCTGCTGGGTACAAAGTGCGTTAAAAAGCACTGTTGTCATTTTTCCACCAAGCGGTCCACGAAATCCCCCCTCGGCTGTTCAGGCAGATGTTGAAGACAAATACCTCAGGATAACATATCTGAAATGCATGAGACAGATCTGTGTATGCAAGTCCCTCTTTTGGCTCGCCTTGTCGGTCATCACAGCCCCTTTGGTAGGCCTGCCACAATAACTAGGCTTGTCACGATAACAAATTTTGCTGGGCGATTAATTGTCTCAGAAATTATTGTGATAAACGATAATATTGTTTGAAATTTGACAGTAGTAATTATTGTCAAATTTAAGAAGAAAAGTAGGTTAATTTCTGTGTGGTACATTTTTTTGACCACTGGATGGCAGTATAAGACGGTTTAAACCGAAGGATTCATGATAGTGAGGGAGCGAGGAGCGCGTCTCTTTAAGAAAAATGGGAGGGAGGCCCCTTGTGACGGGCGGTCTCTCGTAGTTGTTTTTTGGTTGTCAAAATGGCAGGTGCTCTGAATGTTCTGAGCTCTTTAGCACTTGTCACACAAAACTTTTAATAAAAAAAATTAAAAAAACAGTAAACAAGTTCTCGGTTTCTTTTTGCAGAGAAAAACAACTTTCTACACGAAGGCACGAGTTTTAACTGTGAATGTTGTAGCTTCGACAAGACGGAGGTTTATTCCCGAGGTCGGCCTGTTAGCTTAGCTCGTAGCTTAGCTTCTCAGCTTAGCTGCTTTTGACGATCCAAAAACGTGATTTTGGACGGTTAAAACAGATTTTAAAGAGAAAAGAGAAAGGGAGGGGTCAGTGAAGAGCACCGGAGTTGAATCTTTCACCATCCAGTGTCTTCAGTAGAAAGAGAGAGATATGAAGAAACGATAAAGCCGGTAAATGAAAATGAGGTCGATAATTTTCATCCATCATGCGATTAATTGCTTTATTGTTTATTGCGACAGGCCTACTCTTCGGTCACACTTTCTCATGGCTGTTCTCTCTTTGCTTGTCTCACACAGTCCATAAAAACGTTTTAAACCAAAGACCCAGCCTGGTTTCTCCTATTTTCAGCACCCATTCTCAAACTTTGCGTGAAATCTCCTTACTCCTCCGCCAGTCCGCCTCTGCCAGGAATGGTTCTCACCCATTTCCACGGATAAGTTCCTGTCGGTCTCCTGGAGAGCTGCCGTGGTGCTAAAATACTCGTCAATCTATGCTACTCTGCTTTCTTGCCTGAGGGGATGTCATCTCGTAGGCACTGATGGGTCCAAGACTCAGTCACTCTCTTCACATTTCCCACTGCGCTCCATGAATGCCACCAGCAGATGTTCTGCGCAGCTGCTACCTTCATGATACTGACACTCACCTCCTCATTCAGAAACTGTGACAGATAGAGGGGTATTCCTTAAAAGTTACTCATGAGACCCTGCAACTGTCCTATAAACAGAGAAGCTTCAATGTACATCTGCTGTAACATGAAGAAAAGAAAAAAAAAATCAGCAAAAAGGCTTTGCTTGGATTCCAAAAGCTGCCAACAAGCCGACATGAATGGAAGAATCTTCTTACATACACATTCATCCCTGATCTCAGGCAGCAGATGGGCCCACTCAAGTGTTGAAACTCGACAAGCTTTAATAAACTTTGCACAAGCGAAAATGGAAAGCGCTTCTCAAGCTACACGGAAACATGCAGCATGGAAAGGTGCTTTCTTTTTATCAATGTTTTCCAGTCCAGTTTCCTCCTGCAGAGAGCGATTATCGTCGCCGGCAGGAAATGAATTAATTCCTGCTACAGCCAACGTCTTACAGCGTCCGCCGGCAGGAGCAAAATACAATAATGCGTTTACACAATTTATCAAATCGTTCTGCAATAAAATTAGAAGTACAAATGTAGAATTACAGGCTGATTCCAATTAAACATCAGTTTTAGCTCAATAACCATAAAATTGGCTGAACTGTATCAAATTTTGTGTTTGCCAAGTTACCAACCATATTCAATGGAGTTGACTCCAAAATGGTTCTAGATAAACATCACATTACGTTGAGTTTCATTAAAGTGTGTTCGCTGGTTCAAGATATATTTTGCTAACGCTACAAACGTATAAATACATACAGACATGGACAAGAAGCATTCACACTATTGTGATCCTGTTTATATTTCTTATACTTACTATCCTTATGCTGTACGTGTTTTGGCATCTACCTCGTCCTGCAGTTTTCAAGATTTTTCAACAATTCGTATCAAAACGTTCAGCTCTTTCAGGACAATCCTGCTGTGACTTTTGGTATTGGTGCAGCTTTAGCTTTTTGAAATATTTAGCCTTTCCTGCCATTTTTTAAATTCTCATAGAAAATTAATACTCATTTTACATCCTTCTGATCTTTAGATCCGTTTACAACCTTTTACTGCTCCTTTCATATTTTGTTCTGCTTTAGCTTCTTTCAGCTTCCTTGTGCAAATTTAAACCTTTTTCAGCTACTTTCAGCCATTTTTTTCAGCTGTTTTGTGCTCCTTTCAGAATATTATAAGTACAAAATGTTTGTTCTTCTTCTAACTTCTTTTAGCTAATTTCAGCTTATGATTTTCCTGCTATTTCAGCTATTATTTAGCTGTTTTTACACGTTTTAGATTTTTTTTTTTTTTTTTTTTGCCAATTCTACATGTTTGGCACTAGTTTCGACAATTTTCAGCCTAATTCAACAAAAATGTGCTTTCTCCACTTCCTTCTGGTAATTTAAGCTTTTTTAGCTACCTTTCAGCTGATTTTTGCTAATTTAAGCTTTTTCAAATTGTTTACGTTAATTTTTGCTTCTTTCAGCATAATTGAGCAAAAGTGTGCTCTTCCACATCCTTCTGATAAATTCAGCTTTTTCTGTTTTTTAGCTACTATTCAGCTGATTGTCAGATTTCAGCCTTTTTCAGATAATTTCCACTTTTTGTGCTCATTTATGCTTCTTTCAGCCTAAATGGGTACAATTGTCCTCTCCCCACTTCCATGGTAATTAAGCTTCTTACAGCTGTTTCAGCTACTTTTCAGCTATTTCTTGCTCCTTTCAGCTGTTTTAGCAAATTTACCAACTTTTGTGCTCATTTCTGCTTATTTAAACCAAATATGTGTTCTTTCTGCTTTCTTATTATAACTTGCTGTGGTTTGTTCTTCCATTTCAACTACATTTCAACATATTTTAGCTAATTTCAGCTGTTTTTCAGTAAGTTCTTCAGCAATAAGCATTCACACTGCATTTTCGCAGAACATGCAATTTCTCTTTGCATTTGGCAGCAAGCAGCATTTTTTTCTGAACACAAAACTATTCAAACAGCTTGGCGAGAAATTATTCCAGCATGCAGGTAGAGAGGGCGGGACTTACCAGCAGCAGCCATGTGCTCGCTGGTTCTGATTGGCTGGAAGCCAACAAACGGGATCTGCATTGACAGTACGAGTCCCACGATGTAGAAAGTGCTGTATGCTGTAAAGAGAGACGAAGAATGAGGAAAAATAGAAGAAGAAAATGAAGACTGGATAAGAAATACAACAAAATAAATGACAGCATTAAAAAAAGCTATTACTGCACTCTAGTTTTGGTCCCAGTCAGGGAAATCAACCCGAATAGAGGTGTTCAAAGTCTATTGATTTTCACTGCCGTACCTCACAGGGAGTAAATGCAAAATAGCTAATCTAATGTCATTTACTGAGAAAATGGGAGTTGGCTTGGCACAGTGTGGCAGGGAGGTCTGGAGTGTGAACGCTGCCGAGAATGGTGCGACTCCCACCTTTGTGGCTCAAGGGTGGTGGTGGGGAACAGATTCCCAGACACACCAGCTTAATTAAGATTTCATACTCTTGCTGAAGAGTGTGCCTTGTTTTTGAAGTAGTGTGCCTGCCCTCAGCAATCTCTTCTTTTACACATCTGCTATTGATTCAAGACAGAGAAAGATGAACTGCGAGGGAACACAGTCTGCGAGGCGTTTAATTAAAGTATAAGGTTTTTCTCTCTTGCATGATCTTTGAGGTTTAGAGACATGCCTCTGAAAGGAGGCGCTGAGATATGAAATGGGGAGGAGAGGTAGGAAACAGAGCAGGTGCTCTGCGACCTAAAGGCTTTTCTGTCATCAAAATGTGCTTACAATCTGTCTCCATCATTCATTTGCTATCAGACGGAGAAGTCTCTGAACAACGCTCAGACTGCAGACAGAAACAGTGAAAGGGAACTCTTCCACCCGTTCTGCTTCATGAAACAGAATTTCACGTTTGAACAATAGTTTGAAGATGGAGCAAATGTTAAAACCCTCTTACAGTGAAGAGCCAGTAGTGTATTTCAAATAAAGACTATGCTTTGAGTAGAACTAATAACGATGCATAAATGATACTTGACATGGAATAGTTTATTTTAACCACAGGAGCTTCTGCTAAAGACTCACGGCTACTAGGAGTTAACAATAAAACTGTGGTTTGGAGGGTTAAACGTGAGTTCTCTGAGCCAGCAGAGCAGGCAGATAGTGAAATTGGGATGTTCCGAGCAATAAAAAGCCTACCCTCCTCATCAGTGCTCTGCCTCCGGTTGTTACAAAAAAGTAAAGAGGATCAGGTAGCAGGTGGCTGCATTTACTGTTAAACGGTGTGTCTGCAGTGCTAATGATGAATTGCTGGTGGCTGAGGCTCGTTTCGAGGTCAAATGTTTGGATAACAGCGTTTGAAAACACATGGGGGAGAGAGGTGGATTGCATGTTTATTGCATACGTTTCTTTTTATTACCTCTGGGAAATGATCTCTGCAAACAACGCCTGTGTCAGTTTCCACTGGCGCATATGAAGACGTTTTGAATATCAGGTCAGACAGAGACAGATGCCGTCTAGCTCAGAAGCTTGTGCAGAGTGTGCTCGTGTCTGTTTGCATCTTACCGATATAAACCCTCCTGCTGTAGCGTTGCATTAGCAGCAGCACGAACACATGCAGAGGAATCAAGTTGATGATAAACACATATCCTCCCCACGCCGACACCTACAACATACAATAAAATAATAAAGATCAGTAAGCATAATGAGACCACGGATAATGAAAATGATCAATTATTAGTTTTTATTTTTAATTATGACCACACCGATGAGCAAATGATTAGTCTAGAGTCCAACCGATATATTGGCTCTGCCGATATATCGTTTGGGGACATATCGGTATCGGTGATAATAGCTGGCCAGAACAATAAATCTAACGTAGACATAAAACATATCAGTTTTAGTAATGTTATCATTGTTGTCCTCAATGAAATGCATTGTTTGCTTGTCTTTACTTCTCTGCAAAAAAAAAAAAAATGTTGCTGCGGTCAATACTAATCAGACCTTCAACATACGTGTCTGTTTAAACAATTAACAGGGAAGGGTGTTTGTTTAATTTGTATTTTTGTAACACAGTTGATGACTTTATGGTGACTAGGAAGACTGTTTCAAGACTTCACGTGTTAAAACGTTTAAAAGTACTTGTTTACTTAGATTCTTGGGGGTGGACAAAGCTAAAAAGATTTTAGCCATTATATCGGTTATTGACAGCATTAGCCTCCCCTCTCAATATTGGTATTGGTGATCGTCAACATTTACATATTGCTCGGGCTCTAGACTAGTCCAAATGAGGCCAGGACCAAGGTTGATTGCTAAAGTTTTAAGTGATTTTCAAATATTTTAAAAGTGTTGAAATGAGCAAATGTGAGAAATGACCACGATCTTTTATCTTTTATAAACACCTGGTAGTGAGTGACACAAATCTGTTTCCAAATGCTGATTTTTTTTCAAACACGTCACCTACAGTCCACCAGCCTCCCGTAAATAACAGAAAAAAACTTAAGTGACCCAGTGTCTTTCTTTCAATGTAGTTTATTTTGAAAAGAATATGAAGTAGGGGCGCACCGATTGCAGTTTTCTAGCCGATCATTGATTTCTAAAAAGTCTGACCTGCCGATTCCGATTTTGTTTTATAAGCAACACTGTCAGGTCACAATGCACCTTCAATTTTCCAATATTAATTTATAGAAAAAAAATAACCTTGAATGATATCCTATAAACAATACAAACTTGTTTTAACTGGCCATGAGGTAGTGCTCTGAAACATAAAAGAAATTCAGACGATTGTTAAAATTAAAAAAACGGTAAAATCGGTTTCTCATGCGAGTATTGGCCAATTTCCGATTTCCCAAAATTAAGGATATTAATCAATTTATCGGTGCACCCCTAGTGGAATCTATGGTCACTGGTCAGCTCAGCTTTACTGTCAGAGTCTGTGCCTCCCCCTCCATGTTGGCTCATTGTACGGGTGAAAATGAAAAATATAAGGGGCCCCATCAACAACTCCCAGCAGCACATATCTCTGTACCAGAAGCCATTTATTAAAAGGTTTATTAGCTGCAGGACTTGGTGAGTTAAGCGGTGTTAAATCATAAAACGGCAACTGAAATTAGCACTCGTAAAGACAGCTCTCTCAGCTTTTAAACAGTTTGTTGTTGTTTTGACTGGTGCTGGGTAATAATTCTTTATTAGCTCTGCAGGAATTAACGGACAAAGTAAGCACACGTTGTGAGAAGCATGAATTACTGCAAATCAGTCTCAAGTTTGTAGTGGTGGTCCAGGGGCTTGGCGGTGGTTTGTATTTTGGCTTAAAATGCCCGTCTTTAGAATTTACATGTAACTTTGTGGTTATTTGCAAGTGAAAATCGGACAACAGCAGCGAGCTGTAGCACTTCCAGTGCAGCCCACGATGCTCTTAAACGGACTGTAGAGGTTTATAAAAACCGCTCGTGTGAACCATTAAGAAATTTAGGAGACTGGACGTGTTTTTATGCAAAAGCAACTCATTTTGGTCTTTGTCGCAAAGCACAACTATTTTATCATACCAAGATATCTACTACAGGTAAGACATTTGTTAAAACCTTTAACCAGAACTTCACTTCAAAATATATAAACTATCCCTTTAAAGGTTTTAAATAGAGAAAATCTCAATCTTAAATATTAAGTAGTATACGTTTACAGAATTTCGCCAATACAAACAAAAAAACGCAGTTAAAAACACTAATTCTGATAATGCTCTTAAAGATTAGTGTAGACAAGTTATTAGGAGGACAGATTAAAAGGTCTGGCATGATGGAACTGCAATCTAAAACAGCTTATAATTTAAGTGTTATTTGTAAACAATCACTATTATCTTCAACCTATGGCAACAATTGATGTGAACACTGGATTTCATAACCAGCTTATAGAAAAAGTGCCGTCTGCTGTAAAACGTTTCTGCAGCAAATGGAAACTAGTCAGCAAATAATTAACTCATTGTCTTTTCTCAAACAATAGTTCCTCTGAGCCCATTATAAAAGCCCTCCCACACTCTGAGCAGGCATTTCAAGGATGTTACATTTTAACTGTACTTAAAGGTCAACCAGAGCTGCAGATGGAGCGACTGAAAAACAAAAGAATACAAAGAAAATAGACCTGCGCTCAAATGTTAAACCTAAACAAATGCAAAAACGGCAGTGAGGGAAAGTTAATCAAGGTGATTAAATATACGCAAATTATTTCATACAATCTCCCAACAGCTTGTAAGAGAAAGTTTTTGCATCTGCTAAGTACAATAAAAAGCGCGATAGTACGTGTTTTCATCTCAGCAGAAACGAGCAGGTTATGTCTAATTGAGAAAGAAATGATTAAAACAGAACAAAAAAAATAAAATTCTTGCCGGTGCGATTATCTTTTGGCAGTCACTGGCGTCTGTTGTCTCAGACGGTGACAGCCAATTAGAAGCCTGTGAACCGTAACTTGAAAAAAATACCAAAGATGACTTCAATTTAAGTGATTTTCATTGTTGACACAGGAACGGCTCATCAAGGCTTTCAGACCATCTGAACACTAATGAAACAATAACAGTGAAAAACACAGTAAGGGGCAACCAGTGACACATCTTGATGTGTTAATTTTTTCGAGGATGAGGGTTCAGAGTCGAGGAAGATAGAATATGCACAGCAGGATGAAGAGGAAGTCTGGAGGGGAGCTTGAGAAACTAATCAAAGTTCCTTCACATCAGGCCAAAACTAACGGCAATTTAATATCCTGCATTCAAGACGAGTCTGAGCTGCTCCTTAACACTCGGATCTACTAAAACACAGTGAAGGGAGAGCAGTGTACCCAGAAGTTACGCCGCAGAGAAACGACGGACCAACTGCAAACTCGTTATACAACTTTATGAGCTGATAAAACATGCTCTTTTACGTGCTTATTGATAAGAATTCAGTTTGCTGACTGAGGAGGGGTGCGTGAAAAATATTCAACACCTTTTGTGTTTTTTTGTGTCAATTGTTTTTAATTTAAAAGAATGAGGAACAACACGATTTCGTTAAAAATAACTGGTAATCTGAAAGCTCTTTAAGGATTGCTAAAACTTGATGTGAAATAAGCCATGTAAAAAGTTATCCACCGTTACCTGCTTAAAATATTAAATTTCATCTATTACATGCCTTTAAAACTGTATTAACGTTTTTTGTCATATAAGTCGCACCTTGTGGCATAAATTAGCATGCCCTGCGACTTATACGGCGAAGCAACTTATGTTTTTTCCCATATTTACAACCAAAATCTGACTTTCATTCATTCTAACATGGAAAATATTGAACATTACCATTTTCAGCCACTAGAGAACCCTCGACTAATGTGGCAAGCCAAATGTCTCATTAATAGGTCAAAGCGGCTATTAGTGAGACACTTGGCTTGCCATACCAAGCCACCTTCGTCTCACTCTGGAACTCCTGGAGCAAACATCAAATCAGTTGCATTTCGCCGCACAGGTGAAATGCAGCTGATTTGACCATTAAAATGCATTTATTAAAATGAGACGCACCTTTGATATAATTTCGAGCGAACAAATAATTGTTTTTAAGTGTTACTGTTGTTAAATTCTTGTTAAAGTCCTCCCGCGCACGCTCCCGTGGCCACCATTTAGCAGCCAATCAATTTTTGGCACAACACCAGCCATGTTTCCAGGTGGTCTTCAGTGAGGAACAAACGCGTCAGCGGTGACAATAGATGCGATTTATATGGCGAAGTGACGTATTTATGTTTTTTTCCCACTTTATTAGACATATTTGGACTGATGCGACTTATACGGTGGAAAGTACGGTAGTTAATTAAATTATTGCACATGACATTTGTAGCATTTTTGATACTTTATAAAAAGTCAACCTGTAATCATGCAAACTGCTCTCAACTCAAACAGGTTTTGCCTTTTCCATTGGTGGCACATATCGGTAATTGTTTATCGGTAATTGTTTATCGGTAATTGCGGCCGGGGCGCCCCAGAGGACGCACCGGCCACTCTACATTTTTTTTGTTATTTTGCTTTGTTTTGTTTTTTTGAATGTCCAGAGGACCAGATTTAACTTTTGTAGATTTTTCTACCTGGATTATTGAGCATGCATCAGGATATTGGTAACTGTTGAATACAGTGAAAACGGGCGTGGCATGTTGGCTTGTTTTACTTAACGTCCACCAACGAAAGCCTTCAATAAACAAAATTGCCATTTATACAGTTTGAGTAGTTAGTTTACAATTATTGTACTGTCAAAGTGTCAGTGGAAAGTTAATCTTTAAGCTCAGGAGTGGAAAATCATCAGTAATGTCTCTAACAGCCATTATGACAGTTCATTATATGAGATACCACAAGTTTTTGTCACAATCTGTGTCTTCAGTCAAAACTGTATTAAAAAAAGAAAAACAAAACTTTCAAGCTAGTAGACGCTAAATGTACCTGACTGAAGATACCATCTATAAATTAAGTTTATAGAGCCGGGGCTGATGGGAGTTTAATTAGATCCGCATGCATTTGCTTGTAAATGTTCATTTTTTTAACCTAACTGTGGCATCTCTAAATCTCTTTACTTATAATTTGTTTTAAAACTTTAGTTACCAAAAAGCCTTTTTCAGAGGCAGACTCTTTAAAAGCTTCATCAGGAACTAAGACTGTGAATGAACCATTAGCTGGAAGTCTATTGTGCAGATAATTTATTTATTTATTTAGGCTATGCAACGGTTTTATTTGCGCTGTCCGTGTTCAATGAAACAGAAAGAAACCGAAGGACTAAACAATTTTTTATCCTGAAAATAGCTTTAGATGAATGATGTATGAAAATAATACCTTAAAATAGAAAAAAAAACCAAGACATGAATAGATTTCTTAATTCACTCAGTAGATGTTTAGGTATTTCACCAAGATATAGAAATGAAGTTTTCATTGCAGCGATTGACAGTAGTAACAGTAAGTATACTGTAGCCTTCAGTACATGCATACAGCTCCTATTCTTAATAAAAACTATTTTATACTGCAGTATAGAACAGGATATTGTGCTTCTTTTAGAGAGTCCAGGCTCAGGATTTTGTTTGATGTGTAACTAAGGACGCATCGAGAATCATTTCGCATCAACTAACATCCTGAGGTGCCTAAAGAATCCTGCACCTACACTTTTTAAGTTTGATGATTATTTAAATGCACACGTCTGGAGATTACAGACAATCTTTATTCCCCACATGCCAGACACTGAAATGCAACAATACAACCTGATTGCAGTATTTCCTCTCAAGTCTTGAGCTCACAATCAGGACGAGGAAAAAAAGGCAAGAGAGTAAACAACATTCTGGTCACAGAGGACCGTGGAAAGATGAATGCCCAGGGCAAAAGCCGTTCCTGTGTGTCTGTGCATGTTTACAAACAAACTCTGCATGTAGTAATGGTTCTAACAAGCAGCCGCCTGCTAGAGTCAGACAGCAACAGCACAAGGCGAGAATCAGAAAATATTTGGAGCAGAGTTTTTTTTAGCCGTTATCTCCTTGTGAAGTTTATGCAGGGTTTATCTGATGACCACGGAGCACTTTGAAGACAGGATGTCGGGTACGGAGAAGGCAGCATGCAACAGAGAGAGGGGGTTTGTACTCAGTGTGTACATTTTGTGCATCAGTGCTTTTAGACAGACTGTTCTGGAGAATTGTAGGTTTTTTTCATCTATGTATGCAACTTCTCTTATTTAGAGCTCTTCAATACAATTCAATTCAAAATACTTCATTAATCCCAAAGGGAAATTAAATATTGTAGCTCATCATCCTGGATTCATTAAAGAGTTGTTATAGATGCTGATGGCTGTGGGCAGGAAGGATCTCTTGTGGCAGTCCGTCCCACAGCAGATTTGAAGAAACTGGTTGCAGATGTTGATCCATCTGCCTGGACTTGTCGAGTTCCTCAAGTCTTCTTGGGCGGCAGGACCGCCTGAATGTCGTGCAGAACTCCTCCCTGAGCGATGGTCACTCCTCCCAGCAGCTTGTTGAGCTCCTGGTTGTTGCAGACAGCCAGAGCTGCAGGTGTCGGGATGATCCTGGTCGTCTTCTTGTTATGAGCTGCGTTTCCTGTCAGCTCCAGGATCTTAGAGGTCAGGTACTCGAGCACCACCACCAGGTAGACAGAGATGCATCCACGGCGCCTCATTTTCAACTCATTTGGGATTTTGGGCTGTAGTTGAGGTACTATTTGAACTTTTGAGATGGTAATCAGCTGCTCCCGGTTATAAAAAAAAAACTTATTGTTAAGCATCATAAATATCCAAAAACAAAACGTTTTCAGTAAAAATCATTCCAGATGCACAACATCCGATACCAGAGGAAGTAACTGTCCCAAAAAAGTGTTTTACATCCAGAAAAGGAGGAAATAAAGTTTTTAAAAGTAATATCCCAGAATGAATGTAAGAGTTATTCCAACCTGTAGTCAGTTGAACAGCGCAATTCTAGAACCATTACTAAAAAAACAAAATGCTTGAGCATCAAAGTTATTTGTGGTATCCATCAAAGTTAAGTCGTCCTCTGAATGGATTCTTTTTGTTGCAATGTTTTGTCTTTCATCCAAAAGACTTCCATCAGTCCGTGAAGCTGCAACAAGCTCAGTCTTATAAACAGCACCTTCACATAGTGGTCCACCAGTTTGATGGTGCTCAGATGGTTTCTGGAGTCCGTCCTCTCCCCCACCAACTCGTCTGAGGCGACCCATTTATAAGACTGAGTTTGTTGTGGCTCCTCGGGGATATTTACGCCAGCATTCAGCCAGCATTAGATCTCACATTGCATTTTTCATATCTGCCTAATAACAGTGTTACATTCAACTAAAGCCTACAGGAAAATAGAAACTAGGTTTGATTAAAATGACAGCATGAGATGACAATGTGCTTTCTGCAGGTAGACACATCTGCAGAACATCGCATCACACAGGGAGAGTAGTAATAAGGAAAACACAAACCATGCTCCCACTGCTTCAGAAAAGTTCCGTCACAATCAAATCCCTCATTTTGTATTTCTCACATCTACCCCCTTTGTACTTCTCAACTTTAAACCCCCGCACTCTTTGTGTCTCTGTGACAATTCTGTTTTGTCTCCTATTTATCTGTCCACCAACCCCCTCTCCGTAATCTCCTGTCCCTCCAGTCCCCTCTGCAATTTGATCGATGAAGCTGGATTTCAGTAATCTGCTGGATTTGACATCTGTCTTGCTGCCGGCCAAATAGATTTAGCTTGGAACGAAGAAGAAGCTGGTGATTTTCATAAGCGCTTGAGCAAACTCTTTATCACTGAGGCACCGGGCCACACAAACTGCAGGTACATCCAAACATGTGAAGGCAAATTTACAAACCTCGGCACTTTTGCTCAGTAAAGAACATGATTTTTTGTTGTTGTTGTTTTAGAAACAGTGGGTAATGAGTTCAGCAAGCATTTAGGAAGAAGTCTGATGGACCAACAATATAATAACTAATCTGCGGCTTCATATTTAGTTTTACAGCGCTACATTAAACACACTAGTTTTCGGGGACAGAAAAAAAAACGTCTCGCTCACTAAACATTTGTGGCGCAATCTGTTTAAATGAAACACCTAGGAAGAAGGAAGCACAGGATGGACGCAGAGTTTCATTTATATATATATATATATATATAATATATATATATATATATATATATATATATATATATATATATATATATATACATTATGTTAAATTAAACATCGGTGTGCATATCAGGGTGTGAGTCTGCTTTTTACAGCAAAAAACAATTAGATTTGATTATCTTAATGTAACCGTCTACAATGACTTTTGGTGTAAACATTAAATTAGAAAAAAAGGATAGAAATGTAAAAAAATTCAACTAAGCCCTTTCAGTGTAGTAATAATGCCAGATGTTTTATTTTGTTGCTGTCTGACAACATTGTGTTGCAAAACAATGTCATTGGATATTATCTAGGTTTAAAAAGAAGTAGTAAACTTTACATCCATTTCTTTAGTTATTGTGTCTAATTTCCATCCAAATGAAAAAGTGCTGTAAAACAGACAAGCTGAAACTTTTGATCAAATCCAATCATTTTGCTGGAAATGTGACGCAGCTCAAAACAGGCAGAACTTTCAAAAACAACCGTAACAAGAGAAATTGCATGTCCTGTGAAAATGCAAAATGAATGCTTATTACAGACGAACTTGCTGAAAAACAGCTGAAATTAGCTGAAAACATGCTGAAATTTAGCTTAAGTCAAAAAACAAGCTTACATTAGCAGAACAAAGCACAAAGAACACATATTTGCTGAATTAGGTTAATTAAATTAGCTCAAGAATGAGGAAAATTAACTAAATAGCTGAAATTAGGGAAAAAAATGCTGAAATTACCAAGAAAAACTTGAATTTATCTGAAAACAGCTAAAATTTAATCAAATTTTTGAAAAATATAGAACAAGCTTAAATTAGCAGAAGAAAGCAGAAAGAACATGTTTGCCCAACTAGGCTGAAAGAAACAGAAATTGTCACAAAAAAGTAAAAATTAACTGAAAAAAAGTGCAATTAGCAAATAAATAAATAAATATATAAAAAAAAGCTAAGTTGCTAAAAAGCAGAAATAAGGTGAAATTACCAGAAGTGTAGTGAGCACATTTTTTTCCTGAATTAGGCTGAAAAAAGTTGAAATGAGTGCCACAAATATGGAATTAGCTGAAAAAGTTTAAATTAGCATAAAACAGCTAAATAGTAGCTGAAATAGCAGAAAAAGCTCAAACTTGCAGGGATAAGCTGAAAGGATCATAATAAGCTGAAATTAGCAGAAAGAAGTTAGAAGAAGCACAAAAATGTTGTAGTTAGCAGAAAGAGTCAGAAAGGAGCACAAAACAGCTGAAAAAAACAGCTAAAAGTAGACAAAAAAAAGTTTAAATTTGTACAAGGAAGCTGAAAGAAGCTGAAGCAGAACAAAATGTGAAAGGAGCAGTAAAAGGTTGTAAACAGATCTAAAGATTTGAAGGATGTAAAATGAGCTCAACTCATTTTCTGTGAGGAAAAAAATGGCTGAAAAGGCTAAATATTTCAAAAAGCTAAAGTTGCAGAAATACCAAAAGTCATTGCAGGATTGTCTTGAAAGAGCTGAACGCTTTGATTTATGATTTGTTGAAAAAGCACAAAAATTGTGGAACGAGAAAGATGCCGAAAAACATACGGAAGAAAAATGGATCACAATAGTGTGAATGCTTTATAAACATTCACACAATAATGGATAAACATTGCCTTTATTTACTAGACACAATTCCTCAATCAGTCTACATTAATAAGTGTTTGAATGCGAGATGTTCTTACCATGTAGAAATAGGAGAGACAGCAGCCGATAGTCCAGAATACTGAGCCGGTCTTCACAGATTTCACCTACGGACAAAAAGCAAAAACAAGTTCCAGTGATCTGGTAACAAACACACTTTAATGTCATACAAGTCTTCTTTACCTTAATTTTTACAAAGAAAAAACTAACAGAAACAAAATTCCCTTAATGACTTTTTTTAAGTTGCGAAATAAACTAAGAACTGGGGTGTTTCTTCTTTGTTTGAAAGATTTACATTGGAGTGCCAGAGATAACCAAGTCACCCAAGGCCACTTGGCAATCTTGGAAATGAGAATTCCTCTCTGAACAAGCAGATGACAAGAAAAGCAGGTGTGCAAGTGAACAATTAAAAACATTTCTAAATAATTGCACATGGACACACTTGAACAATAGAAGAAACATTTCAGCGAGACCTTTAAATGAGTCAACTCAGAGTATCAGTGCAACTGGGGTGGAAGATGTAGTCAAAAAGCGTGATTTCATTTAACAATGCCCCATTACTGAGAAAAGAGAATCAATGAGTGCTGGACCGGCCTGGTTTCACCCTGTAGATCTCTCTGACACAAACAACTGGATCAATCAGGTGATACTTCATGATGCGGGTCAAAATACGACAAACACTCATAAATGAACAATCCAAAAGATACTGGTCCAAGTCTTGCCAGTATGAAATTTATTTGTTATCTAAAAGAAGAAAATGAGAATATTTCTAAACTAGTGGGTCTTTGAGTGGTTCGGCATGACAGAACAATCCAACCGAAGAAAATATTTTTCTCTTTGGCTACAGAAATTTGTGATAGTTTTGTTGCTACAGACATTTATAAGTCATTTTATGAGGCTGCATGATGTACAGCATGTACACTGCCTGGCCAAGAAAAAAAGTTGCCACCCAAAAAAAAAACACATGGTCACACACTAATATTTCGTTAGACCGCCTTTAGCTTTGATTACGGCATAAATTCACTGTGGCATTGTTTCGATAAGCTTCTGCAATGTCACAAGATCTATTTCCATCCAGTGTTGCATTAATTTTTCACCAAGATCTTACATTGATGATGGCAGATTCTGACCACTGCGCAAAGCCTTCTCCAACACATGCCAAAAATTCTCAATGGAGTTGAGGTCTGGACTCTGTGGTGGCCAATCCATGTGTGAAAATGATGTCTCATGCTCCCAGAATCACTCTTTCACAATTCAAGACGATGAATCCTGGCATCGTCAACTTGGAATATGCCCGTGCCATCAGGGAAGAAAAAAAATCTATTGATAGAATAACCTGGTCATTCAGTATATTCTAGTCAGCTGACCTCATTCTTTGAGCATATACTGTTGCTGAATCTAGAATTGGCCAACTGCAGCAACCCCAGATCATAGCACTGCCCCAACAAGCTTGTAGGCACTAGGCATGATGGGTGCATCATTTCACCTGCCTCTCTTCTTACAGTGATGTGCCCATCACTCTGGAACAGGGTAAATCTGGACTCAGACCACATGACCTTCTTACATTGCTCCAGAGTCCAATCAAAGCCTTTTTTTCCAGTTAGCCTCACTGATTAGTGGTTTTCTTAAGGCTACACAGCTGTTCAGTCCCAATTCCTTGAGTTCCCTTCGCATTGTGCATGTGTAAATGCTCTTACTTTCACTATTAAACATAGCTCTGAGTGCTACTGTTGTAGAGGAACATATGCATGAGATATATTCATCAATTAAACGGATTCTTTCATTTTTCTGGACTGTATAATGTACGTGCATTGAATCTAATAAATTGTGGACGGAAACGTTAATTATCTTTGACTCACCAAGACAGTGGGTCATTTATTAACATAATCAAGTTTAACACATCACACATTTACATTAATTGGCAAAATATGAAAAATAACAACATGGCTAGTTTTAGCAAACTGTACAATTTTGATTATCCACACGGCGGTGGATGAGAACTTTACACAGACATTTCTAAAATATCTGGAGTGATTTCTATTTGATAGAAGAATTTTAAAGATGGAAGATGAAGTTTAGAGGGAGAAAAAGATGGGTGAGGGGGTTTGTTTATGTCGGCACCAGAAACGACACTCTCCGGGCTCTTCTCAGCTTCTTCCCCAGTACACTTAGGTGATAGAATCAACTCTTTTACCTGGAGATGTCCCCACCGGTACGAAAGTCCATTCAACGCACCCTTTCAGCGTCTCCGTAGGAACAGCTGTGAATCGTCAGAAGTAGTGACGGTATTCCGTCCGACACAAATTCACCTCACGAGTGGACTTTCACATGAGTGGAGTCCGTCAGTGTTCCCCCAGAGGTGGAAGGTGTTATAATCCCATAAGACTCGGAAGAGCTCTGTGGTTATGTCAGGATTTTCCTGTTTCCCAGCACGGGAGCTGCAACGACTCTCGACACTCTCCGGACACTCTGAGACTCTGTGAGACTCTGTGAGACTCTCGTTTAAACTAGGAAGTACCGACATTTTAAAGAGCTCTATTTCCGGGTCATCTGGGAGTTTCTGATTGGTCAATGTCGACCAGACAGGGGTGTGTTTTGTGACGTAAGAGGTTACTAGAAGTCAGAAAACAGCAAGAATGTTATGGAACAGATTGAAAATGTTTTTCAGACAGACGAGAGAAATGTTTGGACGGGTTGGCGGAAAACAGCTGCCAACAGGTGCCAGCTTCTCTATTTACGTCTGAGAGGATGTAAAAACAAGACAGCTCGTTCCAACAACTGGTCTGCGTTCGACTCCGACCTTGGACCAAACTTACACTGCTCATTCAAAGACAGAAAATCAGAAAATGCATAATTACTCTGTAACAGGCCTTAACATGAATTCTAACTTTGCATGAGGATTAAACATCATTATACTGTTTCACAGTTAATAAAAATTGATTAGTTCACTGCAACATCTAAAATGGTTTGAACTAAAACACTTTGATTATCAACATTTGTAAAATAGTAATGATAATAAAAAAGAGAGTGTTCTTTCACTTGAATTTTCAAGAAAGAAAGTCTCAGGATGGGTCAACCTGTATTTCTGGATTCAAATCAATGAAATGACAGTTCCTGTCCCATATGGTGCCTAAGGTCAAGGTTTTGACCTTCAGGCTTAGTTCACTACACTGTTGTTTTTCTTCGATTTGATTTCACCAAGCGTTTAAGTGATCGCCAATCACGACTATTCACCCTTCTCAAACAGACCGACATCTTTTCCACAACCATGTGATGCGTCTTTTGACATGGTTGTTTAAGAAATGAGAAGCAACTCATTGCACCAGTTGGGGTTAAATAACTTGTTGCCAGCTGAAAGATAATCACCCATGCAGTAATTATCCAATAGGAGGCTCGTACCTAATAGCTTAGTTAAATCCAGGTGGCAACATTTTGGGGGCAAGGCAGTGTATGTATAGCGGTAAGGCCAAGATATTGGTCAAGGCATGAGCGAGTAAACGCAGAGGAATTGCCATTTGAGGGCCGAGATGGGGTAGAGGTAGGGCAGCAGACTTGGGACCAGAAAGTCATGGTTCAACTCCCAGCCATTCCAACCATGGTGTCTCTGAGCAAGACACCTAATCCCTAATTGCTCCCCAGACACTCAACAGCTGTCCACTGCTCCACCTGGTGCATCCCAGGTGCGATGGATTAAATGCAGAGAACCAATTTTGTCATTGTGTGGGATCATACAATGTTGACAACACATAGCACTTATACTTACAGCATATACTTATTTATAGACAAACTGCAATCTCACTACCTAACAGTAGGTATCACTATAGAGTAAATACAGCCACTAATCAGGAAGTCCTCTAAAAAATGCATTCTTCATGCAATTTGCTTTATTTTTAGGCGTTTTACCCCCTGAGTATACAAATGGCATTAAAACTTCAGATTACTTTTAATGACTCAGTGGAATACATTTTTCTTTAGATTCCCTGGGATACAGAATTACCATTTTACCACTTAACCTTTTCTCACTTTTCTGCAATATAAAAAAATTACCTGACTCAAAAATAAAACTTCTACGATCAAAAAATAAATAAATAATGCGGCAGAGACAGCCCAAAACATGACAGGACTTAGTACAGTGCTGTGGTAGACTGTTTTGGATTAAGAGTTGTTTTTTTTTTGTTTTTTTTTATTTTATTAAAACCTTAGCGTACAATGCTGAAGACTAAGTCAATAAAACTTTTCCTCTCTATAAATGTTTCTGACATCTTTTATAAGTGGGATGACAAGCACTAAGACATTGTATATTAAGAGTTACTGAACAAGCCTTTTTTAATACATTTATAAACAGATTACCATAAGCAGACCCATATTATCAATGTATTGTGTGTACATTGCTGCGTACAATGGGTGTCCAAGCCGCCTCCAAAAATGACCCCCACCCAGCCACTGCTCCCTTTGTGAAGACGCAGAAGTCACCCAGTGTGATGCCAGTCCAGCTAATTAAATGCAAACCAAAAGACAGAATGGAATTACTTTTAAAACAATACAGCCACAGTGCAAAGGGTTAGGGAAATAGAGGGGTGCTGTGAAACGGCGTGTTGTATGAGTGTTTCTCTTATGAAGACCAATGAAGCAGCTCTCCTCTGTGTGAGTGGATTTAATTATAGATTATAAGAGGATGTGTGTGAGTTGGGGGGAGGGGGGGGGGTAAACACAGAGATTAAGCAAGTGGAGTTGAATGGGTTATTAGTGGTTAAAACGAAGGAGCTGGATAATGAAGTTTGGGTTGAACGCGCTAAGAGAAAATTTTGTCGTGTTTGCGCCTTGCTAAGGAGAGGACACGGGTTAAGGCGATGAGAAGAAAACAGTGGAAGAAAGTAATGAGCAAGAGGATGACATAGGAAGAAAAATTTGGGGAAGGACGTGCAAGAGGAGTAGGTAAAGCGAACAAAGGAAAAGCGAAACAAAGGACGACAGACAATTAAAGCTAGACAATATAGAAGGAAGATGGAGAGGAGGACAAGAAACCTCAAAGACAAATGTGGGTAAATGAGACTGATAATGGGGAGCAGTGGTGCATGACCAGGATGATTGTTTTTCAGGGCCCTCT